GGTTTCAGCGGCCGCCGCCAGCCGTTGGCGACGCCGTTGGCGACGCCGGCCAGGGCTCCGCGACGGCGACGCCGGCGACGGGCTAAGCCGCGGCAAGGCGACACTCGGCGCCGAACTTGCGTATCCAAGCAGCGGGGTATCCTGGAGTGGCACTATCACTGCAACACGCACACACGCACGCACACACGCACGCGGCCGACACCGCTGCACTCGGCGACCACCGTCCGCGACTCGCGCGACGGGAGTGCGGCGCGCACGCCTGGCGGTCACGCGGTCACGCGGCCACGCCCACGCACTTGGCGGCGACCCGGCCGGCGGTCCGGCGGTCCCCTCCGCGAGGATCCTCCGATGCGCTCCGCGGTGCGCGACGCGGTGCGCGACGCAGAGGGAGAGGACACGAGGCGTCCGCGCGTCCGGCCGAGAAACTGAAACTGAACCGAAGGAGTGATCCGCGCTGCGCCGCCTGCCCTGCCGCCTGCCCTGCCGCCCGCCTGCCTGCCTGCGGGTACCGCCGTCACCACGCCACGCCACGCCGCGCCACTAGCCGCCGCGACACGGCCGACACGGCTTGCACTGCCCCCACCCCCGGCATGGTGGGCCCCGGCCAGCCCCGGCCAGCCCCGGCGGCCTTCTCACCTTCACCGTCCCTGGCTGCCGGCCGGTGCGATAATCCACCTTAGTTTCGAAGCAGTATTGTCTCAAAGTTGATCAAACCAATCACAAATGTCTTTGAAAAATCGTGTTTTGGACCGACTTTAAGCAGCCACGGCGTCTGATCCGAGGCGGGTTTGCGTCCTCCCTCAACGGGCAATTGGTCTTTGGCCCTTCCTCTAGCATGCCTTTTTTACGGAGTGCGATTATCTCCCTTAGTTTGGGAGCAGTATTGCCGCAAAGTCAATCAAAACTGACTTTAAAGGCATTTTTGACCGTTTTGATCAACTTTGCGGCAATACTGTACCCAAACTAAGGCAGATAATCGCACTCCGTAACAAAGGCATGCTAAAGGAAGGTCCAAAGATCAATTGCCCGTTGAGGGAGGACGAGATACCACCTCGGATCAGACGCAGTGGCTGCTTAAAGTAGGCCCAAAACACGATTTTTTACAGACATTTGTGACCGTTTTGACCAACTTTGCGGCAATACTGTTCCCAAACTAAGGCAGATAATCGCACTCCGTAACAAAGGCATGCTAAAGGAAGGTCCAAAGACCAATTGCCCGTTGAGGGAGGACGACATACCGCCTCGGATCAGACGCAGTGCCTGCTTAAAGTCGGACCAAAGCACGATTTTTCAAAGACATGTGCTCCCAAACTAAGGCGTTGAACGTCTGTTTGATGTTTCGGCACCACCAGCCGCCTTTATGGACACTGTCCACTGGGCAGCTGTTGGTTGGTTCCGAACGGTGCCTCGCTCCTCTGTCTCTCTCCCTCCCTGGGGACGGCCCTGGAGTGCGAGAGAGACAGGGCGACGAGGGCAGCGCTCGGCGATTCGCAATCGACCCGAAGATCGGTCCGAGGTCGCGGCGGGCGGCACACTTTTTGGGCATTTGGCATTGGCTGGGGCTGTATAAACACTGACCCACAAATTCGAATAAAATGGCGCGCTGGCCTTTTCCCGTTCCGTTTGTGTGCTCCCCGCTGTTTGTCGCGACAGTGAAGCGGGAGAGGGGGGGGGGGGGGGGGCTTTTCATCCTTGCCCCAGAAATCGGAGCCGATTCGTCCAACCGGACGGACGACCGCGGCGCCCAGCCGCTATCTGCATCCGCCAACCGGACAGAAAATTAAGTTGGCACAGGTGTTTTTCATTTGCAACAGCAGCATGACGTTCTTGATCGATTGCTTTTACGAACGTCCACTTAACGTGACACACACTTTCTGACTAGAACGGAACGGATGAATGGACCTACAGCTGCTCCAGTTCAACATCCTCGCCTGCTGCAGACTGATTGTGAGAGTCGTTTTATCGCTCTGTCTCTCTCTGTCTCCGCGCTGAGGTGGGATGCGGCTACACTGAGATTCCAAACGCTATGAGTATAGCACGTATGGTGCAATGCGCTGTGATATTGCACCATACGTGCAATGCCACAGCCATATTGCACCTTTGGTGCAATGCTTCCCGAAAAGGCCCTATGCTAATGCATGGGAAATGGGAGGCATTGCACTTCATGTGCAATGCTTTTGCATTGCACCAATTGACGCTATACTCATAGCGTTTGGATTCTCAGTGTAGGATCGGTGTGGCCGTGTGGGTGACGAAGGATGTGTCCGTGGGTCCCGCGCGCTGTCCAAGCTGCCCAAGCTGGCCAAGCTAAACTACCCACGCCTCGGTCTACGACTCTCGAAATCAGTCTGCAGCGACGACTGCCGGACGACTTCCGAAGAGCCTCCTCCCACTCAGCGATCAATGGCACCGCGCTGAAGGGAGTCGGTGAGGCTGAGGAGACGTTTGGCGCGTTGGGCTGGAACCGCATTGCAGACTGAGGGTTCGATAAATCGAATCGAATGTATCGAATCGATTGCACATGTTTTGTGGCGATTCAATCGTTTGAACAAAAGTATGAAGTCGCTAATTAGGTCGGGGTCTCTCCAACCCACCCCCGCAATGCCAACATTGGGTTCGGCTGCTCGGGCTGTGGGTTCGTGCTGCTTTTCACTCGGCGGGGTTTTGCTGCGTGTGTGCGGCAGCGGCGAGCAGCAGCCTCGCCAGCCTGCCGTCTCGATTTGCAGAAACACACGCGGTGCTTCCAGACGAACGTGTTCTCAGCACGGAGCTTGTACCTGCCGTGAGGGACTTGGTGGCATACGTTGCGGCCTGCCTGTCCGTGTGCGTGCGTGTGCGTGCGGGGAGCACTTGATCACGTGTGAGAGCGAGCCGCGAGGTAACGACACGAAAACACACTGACTAACGCGCCATACGTGAACAAGGCGTTGCGTTACTTTTAGTGGCACAAAAAGAGACAGACCTCCACATATCAAACACGTCAGGCGCACCGGACCGTGTGCAGAGCGAAGCGGAGCCTGACTGCTGCCGCGCGGTGGACGCGAGGACGTCGCGAGGACGTCGCGAGGACGTCGCGAGGACGTCGCGAGGACGTCGCGAGGACGTCGCGAGGACGTCGCGAGGACGTCGCGAGGACGTCGCGAGGACGTCGTGCGCGGGTCAGTGACTGTCAGTGACGCGGCCCGGCCGCGTGGCTAGGGCACGGCCCTCAAATAAGTCGGTGCCCGACTCCTCTGCCCGTCTTGTCTCAAACGCGACAGCAGCTCCGCGGGCAGACGAGTGGTTTGCGAGGTTAGGTTAGGCTCCCGAGAGAATCAGTGAATGCACTCGTGTTTGGCGACCACTGCCCAGCGACAAGACAGCGCCAGCAGCCCGTCCGCGTGCCGTGCCGCGCCGCGCCACGCGCCGCCCCCATATTAGGATCAGATGACGGGGCCTTCGAGTGCAGCGTGCATGGCGGCGCATGGAGGCGCATGGCGGCCGCAGCTAATCACGGGAATATTTTCACGCCAACTTTATGGCGCTGGCTCTGCAGACTCCGCAGACTCGGCGCGTGGCTGGGGTGCGGTCGTCGGCACGGCGACAGACCGACACGGAACGAGGCAAATGTGCCGCGCCGCGCCCGGAATGGAAGTCGGCGACGTTTATGCTGCGCCAGTATTTCTGCCAGGCTGGTTGCGATAAAAATTGGCGGCATGATTAGCGCGGTGTGCCGCTAAGCCGCCACGCCGCCTCGCCGCTACACTGGTTGGCCCATCGCCGGCAGGTATTTTGGCAGGCCTTCAACGCTTGGCCATATTTGGGTGCACAGACAGCGCAGCTGCGCGCCCCGCCACCGCGGCGCTGTACCGCACCGCCGCGCCGCCGAAGTTCTCCGCTGAGTTATCGCTCCGCGGTGGTGACCTCCTCGCAGTTCATGAATCGTCGGCGCCCCTTCCCCCTCCACCGCCACCGCGGCCTGGCCGGCCTGGCGGACAGGTCCTCGTTGCACCGTGACGCCAGCGCGCCCTGCTGGCGGACACTGCTCTGGTGACCGGGGCAGGACGACAGGGCCTTGTCGTTCAGGAGTTGTGGCGCCCCAAAGTTGATCCAGTGCCTGTCTCCAGTGCCCTGCCTCCCGGACCCTGCTCCAGGACTGCGCCAGGGCGTCGCAAAAGGAAAGCGCTGCCTACCGCCGGGCGTCGCGACGCCACCTCTTTAAGGCGTGATAATGATGGCGCTCTTTTCGGAGGAGGAGGAAACGCCAACTCCCTCGCGGCTAACCATCGCACACGGCCCACTTGGTCTGCTCGCGGGATCGCCGCAATTTTTGTCTCCCAGTGTGGGCGTTGGCGAGCTCGGCGATTTCAGCGGTGACGTCCGCCGCGTCCGCCGCCGGCGGTGTGGGAGACTTGGACGCCGGCGAGGCCGCGACACATGCACGCCGTCCTGCCGCCGTCCGCGGCGCGGCGACCCGGAGCGGCCTGACAAGGGTTTCCGGCCCGTTGAGCAAACGGCCGCCGCCCCGCCCCGCCCCGTCCGTCGGACGTATAAGGCCATTTGTTTATTGTAATGCGCCTCTCCGTATTGACGCTGCCGCCACCGTGAGCAGGGTGTAAGGTGAGGACGCCCCAGAGAGCGATGATCTCGGACGCAGCTCATCACTCTGCCTCTCTCGCACGCATGGGGCGTGCCGTCTGGGTGCGAGAGAGACAGAGCGAAGAATCGTGAGTCCGCCTGGGCCCGTAATGAAAACAGAGATGAGCGATGATCGGTGCGAAGGCAAGCAAAGCACTCGGCTGTCAGTTCGGAGACGAGGACGACGGCGACGGCCTCAGCCCCGGGGGACGCAGCCCGCGGTGCGCGTGAAGCAAGGCCCGGATCGTCCAGTACCAGACAGCACACCCAAAAACGCGCGCCTCGCCTCTACCTCAACTTCCCTGGCGGCCTGGCGGGTTGCGCGACTACGTGCCTCCAGTCGCATGCCTCGCCTCACGCGGTTGAACGACGCGGTGCCTTACCTTGAGCCAGTCGCGCAGCCAGGACACCTCCGGCTTGGGGTCGCCGACGACCTCGCACACGATGACCACGTTGTCGCCCTCCTCCACGTCGAAGGAGCGCGGCTTGCGGATGAAGGCGGGCTCCTTGGAGTACCTGAGGAAGCACAACAGTAGAACTGTCACGGCGAAGTCAAGAGTATCGAGTCGGCCGCCGAACCGACGTGTTATTTCCCCTCGACGGACGCGGAAAAAAGGGGAAAGGAATTATCGATGCGGGGCAGGCTCGGCGTGTAACAATGTAGCTGATGGCGCCAGGCTTCGCCTCGTCAGGCCTCGCGCTGCCCGCGCTTCGCGGACTTGGCCCAATAACACGTCGCCAGCGTGCCCTCCACTTCGCGCTTCGCGCTTCGCGCCGTCCGCGCCGTCCGCGCCACCTGCCCGCCCATACAAAGTGCCTCATCTCGGCGGCGCTCTCCGGAGGCGGCCGTTCCCACCAAGGCGGAGATAGAAATCTGCCCCCTGCTGCAGACTGATTCCGAGAGTCACTCTGTCTCTTTCGCACTCGTGGGCGCACCCTACAGGTGCGAGAGAGACAGAGCGACGAAAACGACTCCCGGAATCAGACTGGCTGGATGTCGCCGTCACAGCTGGAGCCCGGCGCTTGTCCCGGCGCGCGCGACAAAAGCCGGAATTGTTTGGAATTGCCATTTTGCTGTCTCGCACACTGCTCGCTTTCGTTACGACAGCATTTACAAAACATTTCAATATTCTGTTTAACGTTTCTTCCTTTTGGAAAAAGTTTATGTCGCTGGTTGGCTGCCTGCAGTAAACAACGCCGAGGGGCGGAGCGGTGGGCGAAAATATGAAGCGCGAGTAACCGCTCTGGAGGGCGCCGGCCAGGTCGGCCCGCAGTCGTTTGGCGCGCATTTGGCACCGGCGCGGCCTTTGTCACGACGACAGGCCTCTTCGCCTGCTTCGCCACGCCTCGCCGTCCCTGGAAGCGGGAGAGGGGGGCGACTGTGCGTCCGTCGGCCTCGTCTTGCGGTGTGCAGTTACGCCCCTCGGGCCTCGGGCTGGCTTGGGCGGGCGCCGCACCGACCGGCCGCGCCATGTGTGAGGCTCGCCGCCGCGCCGGGCTCGCCCCGAACGCAGCGCGGCGCAGCGCCCGTAAAAAAGCTGCGGCCTGGAGTGCACAGTGGCGTGGTTGCGCTGGAAGGCCTGGCCGTGCCGCCTCGTCTGCTCGCCGTCAAGAGTCTCTGCTTTCCTGGGTGTCGCCGATCGGGGTCACTCGCGGCGACGCTTGGCGCAGGGTACTCACGGCAAGTCTGCTGGCGCGGGCGAGGCCGCGGCGTCGTCGACGTCGTCCTTGAGCACGGGGGTGGCCTTGGGGGCGCCCCTGGCCGCCGCCACGACGCGCACCCTGGAGGCGCTGCTGGCGCGGCCCACCTCGTTGGAGGCCGTGCACGTGTACACCCCCGCGTCGTGGCTCGTCACGTGGCGGATGCACAGCTCGACGCGGCCGTCGCGGTCCAGGGTGGCCGTCGTGTGCTGCGACTGGCGGAGGCGGACGGCGTCGCGGTGCCTGCGGATGCAGCGGATGGACAGGTTGTGCGTTACGTGCTTCGTGGACGCCACGTTTGGCGGCGGCGTGGCTGCGTTTCGAAACCTCGCCGCGGGTACTCACCACACGACACCGACGCTCGGGTACGCCTCCACCATGGCGAACAGGTAGAGGTCCTCGCCCTCGCACACCTCGACCTCGTCGCTGGGGCCGACCTCGGCCACGAACTCGGGCGCCAGGTAGGCGCGGATGCCCTTGTCGACGACCAGGGTGCAGCGGCAGGTGACCGCGCCCAGGGGCGAGCTCGCCGTGGCAGAGTATTCGCCGGCGTCCTCCAACAGTGCGCCCGTCAGCTCCAGGGTGTGGAAGCCGTCGTCGGATCGGTGGAACGAGTACCTCTCTGCACCGTCCAGGGAAAAAGGATTTGAAATCGTGGTCGCAAACTGGTACACCTCTATGGGAACGGCAGTGTGCCTGCCAGCCGCCCGCTTAGGCAACCCAACGCACACGCGAGCTCCGAGGTGCGGTGGGTTGCCTGCCTGTCGGGCGCTGCCGGGCGGCCGCCGCTGCCCCCTCAGCCTACTCACCGTCGTGCTGCTGGCCGGGCTGGCCCTGCAGGGGCTGGCCGTCCTTCTCCCAGACGACGCGCGGCTCCGGGCAGCCCACCGCCTGGCACGTGAGCCGCACGGGGAACGTCTGCTGCACGCGCCGGTCGCGCAGCCGCATGGTGAACTGCGGCGGGAAGTCGCCGTCGGGGAGCGTCGCCTCCCTGCGGCCAGGACGTCGTATGTTTCACCACGTTCTTTGCGTCACAAATGCGTTCTCGGAATTCCAATAATTTATTTAGATTTTTGTGGGTCTGAGAAGGTGTGTTGTACTTGATTAATGAGAATCATTAATGCCGGGAAAACGAAACTTGTGTTTACCTATTGCCACATGCATTATGTACATTGGCTTGTAATACATGCAAAGTCAATATTATCTCAGTAATCTGGAATCGATTATAATTTTTTTCTGATAAACTACAAAGCGTGTTGTTTGTTGGACGAATTTTTTTTTAAAAAGGGGGAAGCATTGGGTGAAACGCAACTGCTGAGGGGATTAAAGGTGTGGATCAAAAGAAAGACAATGAGGATTGTTTTGAAGAAGTTTATTCGAACAAAAAATTCACACAGGTATAAGGTGGACGTGCCTAATCTATTTCGTCCAAGCGACGGGTTCGGAAACATCTATAAAAAATACGATTTCAAGAAATCCTAGGAGTCACGAAGTCAATTTGATTATTGTGTAAGAGTGTGGAGAAAGAAAAGAAGTGGTGTTGTGAAGTTGTGGCTCAGGGGACTACCAATGGCAGTGGTACCAATGTGGTCGATGTGCCATCCGTCGAAATTTAAACTTGACAATAAATAGAAATCAAAATGCTGGTAAATTCAAAAAATTCCAATGCTAATGTATTCCGCAGTGTTCTGACAATGGAACATCTTTGAAGTCCATCATGGTTAAAATGTTCTTAGCAGAAAGAAGTCAGTAAATTAATTTTCTCGGGTTGGCAACTATTTTCTCGGCGTCTGCGCCCTTGCGAAAATCGCGAAGCTGAAAGCGCCAGCAGTCGCGCATTAAAACTGCCCCTCCATTGTTGTGGACGTTGAATTGTTTGGCTTGTTTCAAAAGGCTATGGTTCTCTAGTCATGTTTTCTTCAATTCTGTGTAATAGTTCTCCCTTACAACGTATCAACACCACGACGGTTGGTTTGACAAACTTCATAAACTCGGGAGGGATGGTTTCGAAACGCGGGTGAGTCTTGTTCGAGGAACATGAGCACTGCAAGTCGCGAGGTGGAGCGAAGTGGTCCTAGTGCTAACTGAATCACAACAACAACACTGCGCATGTCCAAAAACACTCCAATCAAGAAGTATTATTGGATAGTTCTACCCGAAAAACTGCGTTCGAACCGGCACCAATTCTATTGTTGCATCTTGTCTACCTGCAGTCAAAGAAATTTTTCATTTCGAACGTTGCTTTTTCAGCTTTTGGAGTAAGCTGTACAGACCCAAAAAGAAGCTCCGCTATTGGTCCGCCCCGGCTCGGCTCCCCCCACTCCCTTTTTTTTCCTTTGACGAGTCGAGTTTTGCCATGGAAACGGCGATTTTGACAGCAAATTTCTCAAAATTGGCCACCAAATTTTTGACCAGATTTCAACATCAGAATCAGCGTTCAAAGTTCTACTAGTCTGCAAAATCTCATTAAAATCGTATAGAAAACTTCCGAAATGCATAAAGGGCCACACAAATCAAATCTCGAGCCGGCTGAGTCCTGGGTATACTATAAGGCTACTTCGTGCCTAAAAACAAAACAGCTTGGCCAACCAATGGCCGTCCTCCCTCGTCTCGAAGCGGAGAGGGTTTACTTCCCTGCGTCCCTCTCTACTGCACGCGGGCCGTGGTGGGGCGAGGCGGGGCGTGGCGGGGCGTGGCGGGGCGGGGCAGGGTGATGTCCATGGGAGGGGGATTTCAAATTGAGGCCCTGTAGCGGCCCTCACGTGATCTCAGCGCCCTTGAAATCCCTGGACAGAGAGACGGCGAAATGTCATGTCTGCCTTTTGATCCACTTGTAAGCGAGCCATGTCGTGTCATGGCCTTGTGGCGCGGCCCGGAGGCCTGTCTGCATGCATGGCGAGGAAGCGGGGCCACTCGAAGCGTTATTCGTCATTCACAGCGAGAGAAGGCGTGGACTACTTGGTTCAAACCCGGGCGATGACCGTGAGCAACCTGCAGCCCCACCGACAGGGCCTTCTCCGCGCGGACTGCCGGCCCAGCATGGCGCCGGGTGGGCAGACAGTCCCGCATGCGGCCCTGTCAACGGCACTGCCTGGCTGCCGGGCGTTCTGCACCAAGTTGCCCACCCTTCAGCCTGCACCGCAAAGCAACGCGTCGCGGCGCACCCACCTCCGGAGCTTGGTGTCGGCGTGCAGCAGCTGCGGGTCGGTGACCACGGTGAGGCGCACGAAGGTGGACACGCGGCCGGCCGCGTTGGAGGCCTCGCAGCAGTAGCGGCCCGCGTCCTCGTCGCGCACCCCGCGGATCGACAGTCGGCACAGCCCCGCCTCGCGGGTCGTGGACACGCGGCCGTCGGCGCCGTCAGCCAGCGGGTCCGAGTCCAGCGACCACCGCGTCTGCGGGCTGGGGTCACCCCGCACCTGCAACCAAGACGACGTCAGGGAAAGGTCGAAAAGCAGAGAGCGCACAGGAGCCGAAGGCCGAGGCCGTACCTGGCAGTCGACGGTGATGTCCTGGCCGCGGAGAGCCTTGATCTGGCCGGGCAGCGGGCGGGTGAACTCGGGCAGCAGGGGCGCGGCCAGCTGGACGTGCAGCGGCGCCGACACCAGCGGCTCGCCCCAGCCGTGCCGGTTGCGCGGCGTGATGCGCAGCCGGTAGTCCTTGCCCGCCACCAGCCCGAACGCGTCGTACGCGTTGGTGGGCGAGATGCCGAGCTGCAGCAGGGATAACGAGTTGCCACAACAATCTCTCTGGGACGCCGCACACCGGCAGGGCGCGTTAATTTTAAACGTTTGGCAGCGAGAAGAATGGGAAGCCAAACCGCCGCCCCACTGGGCCAAGGGGGCCGCACGGACCGCGGCACACTCACCTCGCGCCACCTGGCGCCGCCCTCGGAGCCCAGGCGCCAGGCCTCGATGCGGTAGGCCAGCACGGGGGCGTCCCCCGAGTGCAGGGGCTTCGGCCAGGACAGCGTCACGCAGTTGCGCCCGCAGTCGGTGATCTCCGGCTCCCCTGCGATCGGGCCCGGCACCTCTGCAACACCAAAGGGGGACGGGGTTCAGCTGCTTGCAGTCTCGGCGTGGGGCTCCGCGCCCGCAATGCCTGCGTGTTAGTGTCGGGCCGGGCCAGGTGGCCGGAGAAACGAGCGGGCTGCTTCGCGAAACGACGGCGCTATTGTGCGAGTGTGTGTGTGTGTCTTGGACTTGGCAGGCGTAAGCGGCGGGCACGCGTGCCAAAGCTGCTTGTCTTGACTTTGAAACCTTAATCGAAGAAATAAATCGCTAGTTATTACAAGGCGCTGCGCCGTTGGTGCTGCGATGCCGCGGGGTGGCTGCACCAGTGCACCACCGCCACCCTACGAGCCCCACGACCGCGAACGACGGCCGCCTTTTTCGAGTGTTGCGTCACGGGGTGAGTCAAGCGTCGCGCTGAAAGTGCTGAAATAGATTTACGGTGCACGTGACTCCGCGAGGTGGCGCGGCCCGGTGGGGTAAACACGCGCGCGCCGCGGCGTGCCGCCAGGGCGCCGGCCCGGCTTGGGACCTGGAGTCCGGAGCGCACGCGTGCCACGCGTCCAACGTGTGGAGCTTACCGTGGTCGGCCGCCAGGTACAGCAGAAAGTCCGCCGCGAGCCCTCCGCTCTTGGCCCACGTGTCCTTGAGGTCGTGCATGACGGACTGGCACAGGCCGCCGCTCATCTCCGCGATGGTCATGTCGATCCGCGTCGCTCTGATCGCCGCCCTCTGGCTACAGTTCGCGCACCGGGCTCGGCGCGGACGGGGAAGTCGTGCACGTTAGGGAAAGGCGCGCGGGCCAGGCGGGTTCCGTCGGCGTGCTTCAGGGCCCGGACGGCGAGGACGGCGAGGACGGTGCTCCGTGAGGGAGGCCCGGGGTGTCGAGACGGCGGCTGCGGCGAGACTACTAGGCCAGCGGGGCAGGACGGTGCCACCACACCAGGACGGCCAAGTGCTGCCCCCGTGTCGCGGCGAAGCGCTAGGCGAGGAAACGGGCCGCTCGGTCTTCGCGCTTCGCAAAATAACTGTCAGGGTCGCCCCCTCCCCCTCCCCTCCCCGCCGGCGCCCCGTCTGCGCCCCACTCCGCCCCTGACGCCCACATCGCCCCCTCGTTCTCACGGGGGTCCTCTTACATCACGCGAAATGCAACTCCTGTCCGCGGTCGCCACTCGGAGAGCCTCCCCCGCCCCCTTGTTGTCCTTGTTGGCGTGCGAGAGAGCGACGCGCAGTGCAGCTGGCCCGCTGTAAACCCTGCCGAGGGGCTGTCAGCATGCGTTGCAACAAAACGATGCTATTTTGATGCAATTAACCGAGGCTCATTGAGTTTTCAGAGCCTCATCCGGCCTCTAAATTTTTTGCCAAATTTTGGCGGTTGTAAGGGAAGGCCTGGTACCTGTCCAGTGCCAAGACCGCCAAGACGCTGACTGCACTCGCTACCGCTGCGGGGGTGCGGCGCACCGCCAACGAGGTGCGTTCTCTGGCCCGTATTTTTAGAGCTCGTCAAGGCGGTGAGACTGTACTTGAGGTGCTGTTCCGTAATCTGGCGCCAACCCGGCTACTCACCTCGTCGAGTCTTTGATCTCTCGTGAATGTCGCGAAGTATCTGGCTGGTGTCGTCCAGGTGGCTGGAGCTGCAGGCAGACCAGTCACCTCCGTGCTCCCAGGAATCGTCCCCCAGGCTGTCCCGGCGGTGGCGCACTGGTGTCAGGGAGCGCGCCCGCTGTCGGAACTGTGGGGGCAAACGAGTTCGTGAGCCGAGTGCGCTTCCAGGTGCCCCGTGGACCCCACCGAATTCCATAGTTGCAGCCTCCGGCTAGCAGCAGGTCGACAGATTTACATGCACCGCCATGACGGGCGTACATAACTATGGAACCTTGCAGAGTCCGAAGGCCACGGTGCCCTTTTTCAAAGCAAGTCGTTAAAGTGAGTTCCTTCAAAAGTAAAATGTTGATGCCTCCAACTGGTGTACCTTGACGGCGTCCTCACGGGCTCGCTTCACCCGCGGCTCTGGGTGCGGCCCGGGAAAGCGATTTGGGAGCTTCTTTGGGGACTTCAGCAATAGTAGCCCTCGAACATAAGCCGAGGGGGAACTTCAGCGGGGGTCTGAAGCTGTGGGTACAACAAGGAAGGTGAAAGACAGCCCAAAAGCGGCACATTCAAAAGCATCAAAGTTGCCTAAAAGTTCGTGCAGACTGAGAAAGCGCGCGTGTAGCCGTTCGAAGCATCAGAAGCCCCGGAGTCGAGAGCAGGAGGAATAGGAGAAGCTCGTAGTGAAAAAATGAATTGATTCGATTGAACGCAGGCTGGGCCACGTACTTGGACTGTGAAGAAGGCGCGGTCCGTGCCGAAGATGTTCTTGGCCACGATGAAGTATGTGCCGGCATCGGACAGGATGGCCCTCTTGAGGGTGAGGCGCACGTAGTCGCCCACCGTTTCTCGCATGGCACGCCCGCTGTTGGTGATGTCGCGTGTGCCTTTCATCCAAGTCACTGCAGTCAAACGGAAGGAGAAGTTACTTTCTGCGTGACTTGCGGAGAGGGACGCACGCGCAGATACCCCGCGCCGCACACGCGGTAGCGAAGCAAGGGGTATGGCCGCACCTTTGGGCTTGGGGTCGCCGCCCAGGCGGAAGGAAACGGTGATGTCCTCGCCGTGCGCCACCGTGATGAGGGTCTCGGGCCGGGACAGGAACATGGCGGGGTCACCGTGTGCACCCGCACCGCCGTGGGCCACCACGTCGACGCGCGCCGACGTGTCCGTGGCGCCGTGCGGGTTGACGGCGCGCACAGTGTACTGGCCGGCGTCCTTGGCCGTGGCGCCCGACACGAGCAGCGTGTGCACCGTGCCGTCCTCCAGAAGCCGGTAGCGCGACGACGTCCTCAGCAGCGGCTCGGACCCCAGCAGCCACTCCAGGCGCGGCCGCGGGTACCCTGGGTAAGTGCAAACATTTGGTCAAGCGCAGCGGTTGACAAGTTTATTTTGTTCTGGCGGTTGCCTGGACGTACCCGTGACCTGGACCTGCAGGGCCAGGGTCCCCCCGTAGGGCACCTGGCTGTCCACCAAGGAGCTGGAGAAGCGAGGCTGTCTGGTCTCCCTCGTCTCGCGGATGGACGACGAGTGTGAGGGGACTGGGGACTTGCCGCGACTCTCGTAGTTGTCTCGTCCTGCGGCAAGAAAAATATAGAAAAACGGCAAAAATAAATTGTTTGCCTCTATAGTGTGCACCCACCTGTGAATTGCACCGTGTGGGCGACGTGGTCCGTGGAGACCAGGTTGGCGGCCCTGCACGTGTAGCGGCCGCTGTCGGACGCGGGGTCCGGGCCGCGCACGATGAGTCTGCAGGTGCCGTCCGAGAGCTGCTGCTGCTCGTAGCGGTCCGAGACGCGCAGCGGGGACCCGTTGAGCAGCCACGTGACGCGCGGCATGGGGTGCGCGCTCACCCGCGTCTCCAGCGTCAGCTCGTCCACGGACGGCCGGTACCATTCTGCGGCAAGTGGCAACCCGCTTTAGTAAGAAAGGCCAGCACGTTGGCGTCCGTTTTCCTGCACATCGAGGCTCACCTTGAACTGGCCGGAGGAAAATCGGTGGCCTCGGCGCAGGGCTGGCGTCACCGAACACGGTCAGGGTGCAGCTCGTCGTTGCCTCGCCGTTTCTGTCCCTGGCGGCGCACGAGTACACCCCCGTGTCCGACACCTCGGCAGAGGGGATCTCCAGCGTGCAGAGGCCATCCACCTCCTTCGTGACCACACTGCAATGGTAAGTTAGAGCAATGAAACATGTTCTCACATCAAATTGAAGCGAAAAGGAGATTGCTTTGCAACACCAACCCTGGTTGAGAGAAGAGAGGAAAGCCGTCCTTGCACCACGTCACGCGCAGATCCGGAGTTCCGAGTACGCTGCAAGCCAGGCGCACGCGGCAGCCCTTGGAGACGGCTCGGTCGGACAGGCGTGCACAGAACGTGGGCCGCAGTCTCCGCTCCTGTAGAACGAATACGAAAACGTTACATCTCTGCCCGAAGAGTAAAAACGTCTAGTTACTATTAAGTCGACATACCATCGCCCTGGATCGCCGCTCGATGTTGAATCCATCCGAGCCGCGCAGATCATCGAAGCTTAGCCTGGAGTAGCGGCTGACGGAGGACGCGCCGACCGACCTGCCCCGCATGGGCGAGGGCGTCACGGAGCGCGCCAGCTTGCGGCCCTCTTCGTAGAGGTGCGCGGTGCCCAGGCGCAGGTCCTCCAGGGCACGCTCACTGCTCCTGCCGCGTCGGTCGAGCGCCGACGTGGAGGACCACGTTGACTTCCTGAGCCCCTCGTAGGACGGGCTGAGATCGGGGCGGCGCAGCGGCGTGTACGGGGAAGTGTGGGTGTAGTAGTCGGGAGTCCTGCTGCGGCCCTTTCCGTACAGCGAATCCTCACCCGGCGTGCGGAACACGTGCGACGACCGGCTGCGGCCGCGGCCCACGTCGCGCTCGTAAGAGGAGTGCGAGTAGCTTGAACTGAAAGTGGAGGTGTACCGCGATGGCGCGGCAGGCGCCCGAGCGTCCTCGCTGATGCCCCACGCGTTGCGGCTTCGGCGGTCGGCTTCTTCCCGCATGAGGCGGCTCGAAAGCTCCTCTACGCGCTGCCTGTCTTCCTGGATGCGCTTTTGACGCTCCTCCAGAACATCCATGTCGCGCTGAAACTTTTCGGCATCTTCCTGGCGCTGTTTTCGGCGCCGTGCCGCGTCGTCCTCGTGCCTAGCGGCCGTCCTGCGTTCGCTTTCGTCCTCAAGGCGTTTCCGGTCTCGGTCCACCGCGTCACGCGTATAAAATCCAGCAGATGTGCCCTTGTTGTAACGTTCCTCTGGCAAAACAGCAGTTTGTTTTTCGTATCTTCTCTCTGCTTGTAAGTTTTCTTCAATATTGTCCTTTGCCTCCACCCTACCCTTGAAAAGCTCAGCATTTGACACTTGTTTTGATATTTCTGTTTCGTCACTTGATTTTGAGATAGCCTTCTCCGCGGATTTTTTCCATCATCCCTCGTTGGCTCTCCCACCTTCCTAGATTTGGGATCAGACAAGACCTTCGTCTTTTCTTCCGCTTGCATGTTTTCTTTAGCTTCTTTCCTCGTTTTTTCTTCGGCTTCAAACTTTAGCCTTTCATCAGCTTCTTTCTTTAATTTTGATTCAGCCTCTTGCTTAGCATTTTCTTCAGCCACTTTCTTGGCCTTTCCTCCGGCCTCCTTCTTTGCTGTTTCTTCAGCCCCCTTCTTGGCCCTTTCATCAACTTTCTTCTTGGCCTTTTCATCAGCCTCCCTCTTGGCCTTTTCATCAGCCTCCTTCTTGGCCTTTTCATCAGCATCCTTTTTAGCCTTTTCTTCAGCCTCTATCTTGGCCTTTTCTTCAGCCTCCTTCTTGGTCTTTTCTTCAGCTTCCCTCTTTGCCTTTTGTTCAGCCTCATTCCGCAGTTTTTCTTCAGCCTCCAATTTTGCCTTTTCTTCAGCTTCTTTCTTTAATTTAGCTTCACTTTCTTTCTTAGACTTTTCTTCGGCTTCCTTCTTGGCCTTTTCTTCAGCCTCTATCTTAGCCTTCTCATCAGCCTCTCTCTTGGCATTTTCTTCTGCCTCCCTCTGTGCTTTTTGTTCAGCCTCTTTCCGAAGTTTCTCTTCAGCCTCCAATTTTGCCTTTTCTTCAGTTTCTTTCTTTAATTTCGCTTCAGCTTCGTTCTTGGTCTTCTCGTCGGCCTCCTTCTTGGCCTTTTCTTCAGCCTCCTTCTTGGCCTTTTCTTCAGCCTCCTTTTTGGCCTTTTCTTCAGCCTCCTTCCTGGCCTTTGCTTCGGCCTCCTTCTTGGCCTTTTCTTCAGCCTCCTTCTTGGCCTTTTCTTCAGCCTCCTTCTTGGCCTTTTCTTCAGCCTCCTTCCTGGCCTTTGCTTCGGCCTCCTTCTTAGCCTTTTCTTCAGCCTCCTTCTTGGCCTTTTCTTCAGCCTCCTTCTTAGCTTTTTCTTCAGCCTCCTTCTTGGCCTTTTCTTCAGCCTCCTTCTTGGCCTTTTCTTCAGCCTCCTTCTTGGCCTTTTCTTCAGCCTGCTTCTTGGCTTTTTCTTCAGCCTCCTTCTTGGCCTTTTCTTCAGCCTCCTTCTTGGCCTTTTCTTCAGCCTCCTTCTTGGCCATTTCTTCAGCCTCCTTCTTGGTCTTTTCTTCAGCCGCAATCTTTGCTTTTTGTTCAGCCTCTTTTTTGGCCTTTTGTTCAGCCTCTTTCCGCAGTTTTTCTTCAGCCTCCAATTTTGCCTTTTCTTCAGCTTGTTTCTTTAATTTTGCTTCACTTTCTTTCTTAGACTTTTCTTCGGCTTCCTTCTTGGCCTTATCTTCAGCTTCTTTCTTCGCCTTCTCTTCAGCCTCTCTCTTGGCACTTTCTTCAGCCTCCTTCTTGGCCTTTTCTTCGGCTTCTTTCTTTGCCTTTTGTTCAGCCTCTTTCTTGGCCTTTTGTTCAGCCTCTTTCCGCAGTTTGTCTTCAGCCTCCAATTTTGCCTTTTCTTCAGCTTCTCTCTTTAATTTTGCTTCACTCTCTTGCTTAGACTTTTCTTCGGCTTCCTTCTTGGCCTTTTCTTCAGCCTCTTTCTTCGCCTTTTCTTCAGCCTCTTTCTTCGCCTTCTCTTCAGCCTCTTTCTTCGCCTTCTCTTCAGCCTCTCTCTTGGCACTTTCTTTAGCCTCCTTCTTTGCCTTTTCTTCAGCTTCTTTCTTCGCCTTCTCTTCAGCCTCTCTCTTGGCACTTTCTTCAGCCTCCTTCTTGGCCTTTTCTTCGGCTTCTTTCTTTGCCTTTTGTTCAGCCTCTTTCTTGGCCTTTTGTTCAGCCTCTTTCCGCAGTTTGTCTTCAGCCTCCAATTTTGCCTTTTCTTCTGCTTCTCTCTTTAATTTTGCTTCACTCTCTTGCTTAGACTTTTCTTCGGCTTCCTTCTTGGCCTTTTCTTCAGCCTCTTTCTTCGCCTTCTCTTCAGCCTCTCTCTTGGCACTTTCTTCAGCCTCCTTCTTTGCCTTTTCTTCAGCTTCTTTCTTTGCCTTTTGTTCAGCCTCTTTCTTGGCCTTTTGTTCAGCCTCTTTCCGCAGTTTGTCTTCAGCCTCCAATTTTGCCTTTTCTTCTGCTTCTCTCTTTAATTTTGCTTCACTCTCTTGCTTAGACTTTTCTTCGGCTTCCTTCTTGGCCTTTTCTTCAGCCTCTTTCTTCGCCTTCTCTTCAGCCTCTCTCTTGGCACTTTCTTCAGCCTCCTTCTTGGCCTTTGCTTCGGCTTCACTCTTTGCCTTTTGTTCAGCCTCTTTCTTGGCCGTTTGTTCAGCCTCTTTCCGCAGTTTATCTTCAGCCTCTAATTTCACCTTTTCTTCAGCTTCCTTCCTTAATTTCGCGTCAGCCTCTTTCTTAGACCGTTCTTCGGCTTCCTGCTTGGCCTGTTCTTCAGCCTCCTTCCTCGCCTTCTCTTCAGCCTCTCTCTTGGCATTTTCTTCAGCCTCCTTCTTGGTCTTTCCTTCAGTCTCTATTCGCTCTTTTTCTTCAGTCTCCTTCTTGGCTTTTTCCTCAGCATCCTTTTTGGCCTTGGCTTCAGCCTCTGTCTTGACATTTTCTTCAGCTTCTTTCCGCGCTTTTTCTTCGGTCTCTAGTTTGGCCTTTTCGTCTACTTCTTTTTTCAACTTTGCTGCGGTCTCCTTGGCTTTCTCTTCAGCCTCTGTTCGTGCTTTTCCTTCAGCCTCCTTCTTTGCTACCTCCACAGCCTCCTTTTTGGCCACCTCTTCAGCTTCCTTCTTGGCTTCCGCTTCAGTCTCTAACTTGGCCTTCACTTCAGCCTCACTCTTAGCTTTCTCGTCCGCCTCTTTCTTCGCCTTTTCCTCGGCCTCCTTCTTTGCTTTCTCTTCAGCTGCTTTCTGGGCCTTTTCTTCAGCCTCCTTACGTGCCATTTCTTCGGCCTGTAATTTTTCCTTTTCTTCAGCTTCTTTCTTTAATTTTGCGTCAGCCTCCAGCTTTAATTTTTCTGCAGCCTCCTTTTTAGCTGTTTCTTCAGCCTCCTTCTTGGCCTTCTCTTCAGCCTCACTCTTAGCTTTTTCCTCCGCTTCTTTCTTGGCCTTTTCCTCGGCATCCTTCTTTGCTTTCTCTTCAGCTGCTTTCCGGGTTTTTTCTTCAGCGTCCTTACGCGCCTTTTCTTCAGCCTCTAATTTCGCCTTTTCTTCAGCTTCTTTCTTTAATTTTGCTTCAGCCTCCTGCTTGGCTTTTTCCGCAGCCTCCTTCTTGGCATTTTCTTCAGCCTCCTTTTGGGCCTTTTCTGCTTCATCTTTCCCTTTCTTTTCTTCAGCCTCCGCTTTGACCTTTTCTTCATCTTCTCTCTTCAATTTCTTTTCGACATCCTCTTTAGCCTTCTTTGCAGCTTCTGCCCGTGAATTTTCTTCCACTTCGGCGTTGGCCCTATCTTTATCATCTTTTTGTGACATGTCTTGAGCCTCTTCGTCCATTTTGGCTTTTACTTCGGTAACTGTTGCCTTTGCCGTCACCTCCGGTTCACTGCATTCGTCGTCAGTAGGTCTAGGTGTTTCTGGTTTGGACATTTCTGGTATGCTTTCTATATCTGATAAGGTTTCAGGTTCATCGTGCATTTCGGAAGATGACTCATCGCGTCTCGATGACATTAGGACGCCGGAATCGGCATACACAGCCATGCCAAGGGAATCCGATGCGTTCTTCGCATCTATTTGGTCGTGTTGCTTTTTGGATCTTAGCTTAAGTGATGCCTCTGCCTCCACAGTATCTTGAACCTCTATGACGCCAACCGCTCGAAGTGACGTTTCTGTTTCTTGTGCTTGTTGCGGCTCAACGCTGCTGGAATTATCTAAAGATCCACCGTCTGCCTCAAGAAGTACCTGCTTGTGTATAATTGCTTGTTCCCCTTGTGTTGTAACTTCTACAACACTTACTACAGTTGAGTGCTTAGAAATATCTGTACCAGACTCTGAACAAATATTGGCTTCCATTACTTGTTGATGTTCAATAACGGCAATTTTGTGACCTAAAACTTGTAGTGGCTCCGCTAAAGCTTTCAGTAATGCTGTGTTGATACCACCTTCTAGCTGCTGTGTTTCTAGTTCTTCTTCATTGTCAACTGTTTGAATTGCAACCTGTAAAACCACATTTATAATTAGTTTCCCTCCTTAAAACGCATGAGACACAAAACAAAACTTAAATCTAATGTTCTAGCTTCAGTTTTATTTAAAGTACTGACCTGTATTTCCTGAATGGGCTTTGCCAACTTTAGAAGTTGTTCCAGTTGTGATTTCTGCATTGCTATTGTGGTTTCTGAATCTTGAGCTTTCGCCACAAGTTCTAGTCCTGACTTCAACTCTTGTATAGGATTTGCAAGAGCGTATAATACTTGTTGGTCTTGGCTCACAGGCAAAGAATCCAAATGTTCGTGAACGATAGACTCTTCTACCACAGCTAGACATTCGGAAAGTTCTTTTACCGGCTGAGAAACTGTGCTGAAATCAAATGTAGCTTCATTTTCAGCTACGGATTCCCTTGGTAGTTGGTAAACCTGGTTGTCTTCGAATAATGCAACACAGGTATTTAGTTGCTCTATGGGGCGAATGATAGCTTGAAGCATAGATAAATTTACGGCACCTTCTTTTATTTGTTCAAGCACAACTTCTTGTTCTATCTCTTCTAGACCTTCGTGTAGGTCGCGAATTCTTGACGCAATATCCTTTACTTGATCCTCAGTGACAGTTTCGTTGCAAGCCAGCATTTCAGCCACTTTGCTTATAGTCGCACTAAGCTCCTTTGCAGGTTCTTGAAGTGTTTCAAGAACTGCTTGTCTGGTTTTTTCTGGCATTTCTGAAGTTTGGTCAATGACAACGTTAACTTCTATCCTAGCGAGTTCCTTTGTTAGATCGTCTGTAGCACTCACTAAATGAGCAACGGCACCTTCTGGCAGTATACTTAAAAAGCTTTCTGATTCCAGGGTAGGAACGTCTTCTACAGAACATGACTGTTGATGCAACGCAGGTGCCAGATTTTCAATGCATTTAACAAACATTTTAAGGGCATTTTGGACATTCTCCATCACGCAATCTTCAATATTCCATGGCTTCTCCCCACCTTTCGACATTTTTGTGACATCATTATTTACTTGTGATAGTGAATTGGAAAGCTTAGCTACATGCTCCGTCAGCAATTCTTTATCTTCTGTCAAAGAAGTGATGTCATTTAATATTTTCACAGCATCCTTTACTGGTTTCGCTAGCTGCTTAGGGTCTCGAGGCTCCGATGCAGTACTTTGCAGAATATCTTCTTTTATTTTTGTTGCACCATCGCGCATAGTTTTTAAAGGTAGATTGACTTTACGTAAGTCTTCCCCTTTGTCCAAATTTTCAACTGTTTCTGTAAAAGTGTCAATTGTGTTGATGAGAGACGTCGCCAAATCACACTTTGATCGAATCTTACTTTGCAGTTTGCCCTTTACTTTGTTTATTTTGCTCTTAAATTCAGCCAAGGGCTCTAGAATTGATTTTAAAATTGTGTTTTCAATAACAACAGGATTTTCGCCAATCTCGCGCTTTAACAAAGCATTTTCTTCAATGAAAGTAACGCTCCAAGACAGTTGAGAAAGGGGAACTAAAAGGTCATCTATGAGTAGCCGGTCCTCCTGCGGTTTTGAGTCTATGTCGTCTTTCAAGTCATTGACTAATGAAAGAAGATTTTGTAGTGGTGTGAGTAATGCTTCCACACGATTTCGATCTCTATCAACCTCCTTCATTACTGAGACAGCTCTGTCCAGTTCCTTCATTGGCAATGATAGTTCAGTGAGAACTGAAGCTTCGATGAAATGAGCCTTGAGGTCTCTTGATGGATTGAGAATGTCGGCCATATCATTATTGACCTCTTTAATTGATTTCAGAGCGCAGTCCACAAGTGAGGCGTGTTCTAGATCTGTAGTTTTAAGAGCTTCTGCAAGTACTGCATTGTCTTCTGCCTTCTTAAGGTCAGTTACTAATTTCGAAAACTCTAAGAAGGGCCCTGCAAATTTAATTATAATTTCTTTACTTTCCTTTGTGCTAAGCTTGTCACCCTTTTCTTTCAAAATTGACTTTATAGAAGTTTGTAAATCATGCAACGGAACAACCAAGGATGCTAGGTCACCCAGAGATTCAATAGTTTGGTCCATCAAAAATTGTTCCCTTGCAGCTAAACTTTCACGAAGATTAGACAAAGAAACGGTCAACTTATCATCATGTAAAGTTGTTTCATCAGAAACGTCAGATATTTCTTGAAGGCTTTTAACTGCAGCCCCGAGTTGCACCAAACACTGGTTCAATGGCTGTATTACAGTGGCACGAAGGCCAAGCTCTGCTGGTGCCTCTGCGATGCTTCCGTTTGCTATGTTTGCGAGTTCGTCTACTGCAAGCAAAGTAGACTCAGCCATTGCCAATGCAGCTTGGTTTTGCAATTCTTGAGTTGTGGTTCTTATAGAGGAGGCAAACTGCGTCAATACACCTGCTATATTCTCTAGCTCAATGAGAGTGTTGCTCTTAGACAGTTTATTCAGAGACGAAAGTAGTGAATCAGAAGCAGCTGTAATGGCTGGAGTAAAAGCACTTAGCTCAGGAGGGGCTTCTTTAGCCTCTGATTCTGCTATCGCTAATGCCTGCTGAAGGTTTTTTAAGGTACTTGCAAGTGTCTCGTGCTGCGGGCTTTCTGTAATTAATTGGGGCCTTTGTTCAACGCTTTGAAGCAATTCTGTAAGATTTTTAAATGGCACTTGCAACGCGGAAAAACATTGGATGTAACGTACGCCCTTCACTTGCAAGGGGCCGTCTGTGATAAGAGGAATTGAGTCTTTGCATCCCGAGGAAATGCATGAAATTGCATTTTTCAAGACGTTTAAAGCTTCTTCATAAAGACTTTGCTCTTCTTTTTCTCTTACTTGTTTTATTTCCGCGGTGAAAGTACAAAGACTTTCTGCCAAATTCTCAAAAACTTCTCCTTTTAATATTTCCTCTGACGCATTGTTTGACTGAAGAGATGTTTCTGCCGTAGTAATTCCGTCCTGAAGCTTCTCAACTACTTCCAGCAGTGTCACGTTCTCACATTGTAAAAGGCTATTATTCTGGACAACCATCTGGTGCGCCGAGGCAAGCACGTTTTCTAAAGGTTTTAGGGCTTGTGCAATTTCCAGTAAAGGCTCAAGTTCCAATTCATCAGTTGCCTGAACGTGAGCAACTCCTTTCTGAACGATTGCTTGTAAGTTTGAGAGAGGATTTGCAATCGTAGACAATACAGAAGAAGCAGTTACAGGTTTATTGACAGATGAAACGTCATCTTGTGACAATTCAGATAAATTCAGGTTTGCCTCATTTTTTATTTCCTGGATGGTTGCAGTTACAACATTCAGAGCACGGACTTTGTCTTCTTGGGCCTCTTTCAAAACGACTGAAGACATTAAATCGGTGAGTGAGGCAATGGGACCTACAATTTCTTCAATTACTTGTGCAATGGAGCCATCTGTGCCCTTCAACTGCAATTGGTCACCAATGTCACTTAACCTGTTTCTAACGGCTGCTGACTTCTCTTGAACGGATTCTTGGTCTTTACAATCTAGTATGGTTTTATGCGATTGATCAAGGCCATCGACTAAACTTTGCAAAGACAACTTCAAATCTTGTGCTGTTACATGCTGCCCTGGCGTCTCTTCTTGCAGTTCCGTTTTCGCTTGTTCGACAAGAAGTTGAATGGCTTTTAGGGGTTTCAAAAGATTTTCAATAACAATGTGGGACGTTTTGGTCGCGTTCTGAGCAGCAAATATATGATCAGATGGATAAATTTTGATCGGCAAAGAAAGAAGCGTGTTGACTTCCTCTGTTATTTTTGTCGCATTTCTAAGGGTTGCTTCATTCACTTTAGCTAATTCTACTTGTGCTGCTTCCCTCGCAGATTTTATTTCGGTGACCTCTTTACAGTATTCTTGTAAGGGCATGGAAAGTTCGTTGATTACTATAGAGTGCATCACAGTGGGGTCTTCTAGAGTTGCAGCCTCTTGAACTACCTTTAAAACAGCCTTTTGCAATGCCGCGGATGCTTCAAGTAGATCTGCACATTTTTCATTATCTGAAACAGATTCAGACTGAAGAAATGACTCAGCTTCTTTTAAGGATAGCTGAAGGGATTGTAATGGCTTTGACACGTCATCTATCGTCAGCTTCTGTGGTGTATCGACTTGTACACGTAGAACATTTTCTTTCAGCTCATTGACGTAGCTGAAAAGATCGTTCAGTGGACCTTGAAGAATTGTCAGTTCTTTGGCATCTGTTGTGTCTAGTGGTTGGCCTGTTTCAACTGCTTCCATTGCCATACACAGATCTTTTTCTAAATTTTGAATGCTGTTAGTCGCGTTTTCGACAAAACACAGTACATTTTCCTTTGCAATCTTAACATTTATTTCTGTCTTAACTTTTTTTAGCTCTTCTTTGAATTCTTGAAGAGGGGCTGTCACCAAATTCAAGCTAGCTGTTTCAATACTAGCTTTTGAAGTAGTTTTTAATGGGCCTTCGATGATAGACTGAACACCAGCTTCGAGAGTTTGTAAAGGAACAGCAATCAAACTTATTGATTCTTCTGGCGCAAATTCTTTTATTTCGGCATGGACTTGCTTGATACCACGTTGCACTGTGTTCATCGAATCAGCAAGAGTTTCGACAATAAGTTTCAAAGGTTTGGAAGCGGACTCATTTTGTATTGTTTGTTTCACTAATATCAGACTTTGTTCGAAATCTTGTATTGGTTGAAGAAGGGGTGCCAGCACGGCTTTCAGGTAATCTTCTTCAGAAACATCACACAAGGAACCCACTTCAAATTGCAGCTCTTTTATAATGTCCACTGTTTCATCTACAAATAACAAGGCACTGGATACAGCAAGTTTTCCTTCTTCAGATGGTATGTGAGGTTCACTTTGCTTTGAAGAAAGTTTTGAAAACGCAATAGCTATTTTTTCTGTTAAATTCTCAACTGGATTTGAAAGTTCGTTCAAAGTACTAAGCTGCAGTGCACACTTTTCTCCAACCTCATGAATTTTTTCTGCAACGGAGGCAGTTGTTTGCTCAAGAACATCTAAAGACGAGGCTATGTACGGTAAAAGTATACACTCAGGATTTTCTTCTTGACTCAGTTTTGCCTGCACCTCTATAACAGTCGAGTGGAGAACTTCAATGGAGCTCTTTAATGTACTGTGCTCTTCAGTGCTTCCTTGAACAATGGACGCATATGCCTTTTGCATATCGGAGCTCAATTGCATGAATGGTTGCACGAACGGCTCCAACGTTTGCTGCATGAGTGACACAGCTGATTCCTGCACAGGTGATACACATTCTAGGGGCAAATTGCTTATTTCTTCTAGTAGTCCCTGGATTGCAATGCATGTGACTTCAGGATGAGACTCTGTGCGTTGATCACCAGATTTAAGTCTTTCACTGTCTGTTTCTTTGATTGAAGCAGACTGTCTTAAGATGAGTTTTTGGTCGTCTTCTGTTATTTGATGAGGTTTATTTTCAACGGCTTCCACCATTTTTTTGTTTACTTGCACCACAGCTTGTTCAAGATCTTGAAGGGGCTTTCCGAGTGAATCAAGAACAGTGTCCTGGATAACCAGTGGCTGCTCACCAGTAGCAACAGCGTTTTTGGCTGCCTCTTCAGTGATAAATACAGCTGTATGCAAATCGTTGATTGGCTTTTTTAGCACAGATACTAAGCATGCCTCCTCTTGTGGAATTGATGCCATAAGTGACTGTGCAACGGCCACAGCCTTACTGAGCTCGTGTAATGGTCTAACAACCTTTTGCACGGCCTCATCCTTAGGTCCTTTGTGGTCTTCTACTTCGGTTATAGCGTTCACCAAACTTTGTAGTGGAAGTTCAAGAGTTTGCATCGTATGCACAGCCGTTTTCACATCAGGCTTGTCTATGTTTTGAGAAACATTCGCTGCTTGATTTATTTGTGCTCTTATGTTCTCGACATGATCTGAAATTTCCTGTACGAGTGGTGCGTGTGATTCAGCCGTCACCTTCAGAGCTTCCATCTTCTTTGCCCTTCCTATCGATGCTTGGAAAAGATCAAGCGGATGACACAAAGCCTTGATTATTGTTTCTTTAATCCTTTCTGAAGAATCTCCTCTGTTTTCCTTTCTCATGTAGTCCTCTTCAATAGTTTGCAAACTCAATTCGAAATCTTGCAGTGGTTTTAAAAACTCTTTTGCAATGTCAATTCCAGTTTCTTTTAAGGCAGATACATGCCCTTTGGCCAACGAAACTGTCTTTTTGAGTTCCTTTACAGATGCACAAATGTTTTCAAGTGGTGGGAGATCATGAACAGTAGTAGGAGAAGTTGCCACTGAGAGTTCATTTGCCAAATAAGCAATAGGTTTCAAAAGAGTCTGCATTTCAAAAATGCACTTTGATGTGTTTTCACGACGAACATCTGTGAGGTTCAAGCATACCCTTAATAAGTCCAACGAAGTTCTTAGAGAGGTCACTGTAGAATTAACGTTGGTAGCTGTTGGTGATTTGCTAGAAATCAATTCATTTATGCTTTCTTGCACTGTTTGAACCAAACTGAGGATGTTATCAGTTTGTTGTGTTCCATGGGGCAGAGGGGCAATAGCGTCTTTGATGGACTGCACGCATAGCAAAATATTATTAGTTTCCTCTGAAGTTACTTCATCCTGCCCTTTCTTTAAACTTGCTACTAATGTCACCAATTTTTCAGCGAGCATTTGCACGGAACTGATGTTGGTTTCTGATGTAAGACCAAGGCACATGCTTAGTAAACTATCCATTGAAGCTTGCACGAACATTTCTGGCGTCTTGCCAGAAAACGCTTCAGCTTCTACCGCCGCAGTTTGTGCATCTTGAGCCGAGTCAGTATTTTGCAAACTACAAAGAACTAGCTTAGTTTCGTCTCGGAGCCAGTGCAAGGATTCGGCAACCACAGATAACACTTGCACATCGGTTGTTTCCTTTGCCTGTTCACATGCCGACTGTAGTTCAAAAACCAAATCTTGGATCTTTTCTATTGGTTGCAGTAAAATTTTCTCCTCACCTTTCGATGGAATTTGGCTTTTTACTGCAATAATCTTTTGTGATAGTTCCTGCAATGCAGGCACGAGCAAAGGCGACGCATCTGTAGAGGTGCTAGAAGGTTGCGTTACTTTTTGGACAGCAAGTGTCAGTTCTTTTTGTATGGTATTTAACGGGGCCTCTAATCCTTCTAAGGCTGACACTACCAGTTTTTGGGCTGAGACATGGTCAGACACAAGTGACATCTTTGCTGTTGTAACTTCAGATTGAATGTCTTGAACACATTTACTTATGTCTTGCGCAATATCATTAACGCTTGCAGTGGTTTGAAGATGAGCTACATTTTGCCTAAGTTCTTTAAGAGGAGTTGCAATGGCCTCTAAAATTAAAGAACTTTCACCTGATGGTGACGATTGGGCACATTCCTCAATTTTGACAACAGCCGTTTCAATAGTTTCAATTGAGGGTTCAAGCATTTTAGCTGCATCTGGACACTGGTCAGAATGACGCAACTGTTGTGCCATTGCCAGCAATGTGTCTTTTAGTAAGAAAACCGGTTCAAGAAGAACATTTGGCTCAACGTTAGGAATTGCCTCTTGCGTTGCTTGTTTTATCTGTTGCACTCCGCTCCATAATGCCTCTAAAGGAGATGAAAGCAATTGTACAACAGAACTGATACTTTGACTGTCATCATCGGAGACTGATTTTACCGGTACCTTTTCTGTAACCGTTTTTCTCATTGCGTCAATTGATTCAGAGACACTTTCTAGGATTGCGTGTGTTTCGCCTTCAAGTTGCTGGAACTTTTCGTGTTTTATTAAAGAACCTTTGACTGGTAATTTGATTAATTGATCAGAAAATTCATGGAGTGACTCGGATATTGTCTTAAGAACAAATTCTTCTTTAGCCGCTGACATTGACGAATGCGTTGATACAGAGGCTATTTCTTCGTGAATTAATTTTAAACTCCACTCAAGCTGCTTGACCGCATTTTTCAGTGTGTTATCTGTACTATCCGTTCCAGACAGTACATTTTTCTCTGTGTCACAAAGAATTTCCGTCAGCTTTTCAAGTGCAGTAGAACATATGGGAGGGCTTAGCCCCGGCCTTTCTTGCTGGCCGGGGAGCGATAAGCTTTTTACTAAGTCTTTTAGTCCGTTGCTGATTTCTTTAAAGGCAAACGCTGATTTCTCGTCAAGAGTCGGCAATACTTTGGACACCTGATTTTGTGCCGCCTCAGAAGCGCGCGAGACGTGCTGAACTGCAGCTTGATAATTTTTCTGTAAGAAAGCATCTGTTTGCATTTTATTTGCATCTTCGAACAATACACATATCTTTTCCTGTAATGTTTTTGTAGGAAGAGCCAGCATTCCGAGTTGAATAACAGCGTCTTCTGCACTCAGATCATTGTTTACCTTGCATTTTGCAAGCTGATTGTGGGCGATTTCAACATTTTTCTGAAATTGTTTCAGTTCGCCGAGGACGTTCTGAACGGATGCAAAGTCTTTCTCACCACAATATTGTCCTACTTGAGCAGTTGCCTTTAGCAAGGCCTGCGACACGTCTTCTAAAGGTTTCTCAAGGACTTCTACAGCGTCCTGGGTAACCTTATTTGGCGATTGAGTTTGCTGAAGGAGAGAAGTCGTCCAATAGCACAAACCTTTTAAGGGTTCTAGTACATCAGAACTCAGGACATTGCACGCAGCGTACAAAGCCGGGGATAGATTAGATTTATCCCACGGAGTTTCTTCTGATGCGATGATCGCCTTTTCAAGATTATGCAGCGCACTTGAACATACTTTTAAGCTGGGAACTGGACCTACAAGCTCTTGTTTTGGTACTCCACTGTCCTTAATGAGATCTGCCTGAAATTTCAACACTTCTTTTTTCATGGCCTGTATGGGTTGAGACAGAGTGTCCAGAATTGACACACCGTCTTTTAAGGTTAGGGAGTCATCAGTATACAAAAATATTTCTTCTTCAATCAATGCAATTCCTCTTTGTAGGTCTTGAATTGGCCGTTGAAACACTGCGATATTTTCATGAACTGCATTCTCTGAAATTTCTCTTCCAATATTGAGTAAGACTTGTTTCATACTTGACAATGGTTCTACAAGACTCTTTGGGGCGGTAGATTTAGCAAGTGGGACCATATCATTTTCCGAAATTATATCGTTTTCAAAATGTGAGAGACTTTGTAAAAAATCAGAAACTGGGTTGATTATTTTTTCCAATAGCACTGCCGATTCTTTTGAGGACACTGGTGCGTTTTCTAGGTGTATCGTTGCTATCGATACCGCATTTGTTGCTTCTGTTTGAAGTTCTTTGACTGTTTGCTGAAGGTTTTGAAGAAGCGGTAGACTACCTTTATTTGATATTTGTATTGGTTCACACATTTTGGCAACTTCACTTTGAACAGCACCTGCCAACTGTCTAAACTCTCGCACGCACTGGGTTAAACCATTAAGGGTGGCCACCTGAGCTTCGCCGTCACTATGAGCCCCGCTTGAAATGGCAGTGTGCATGTTTTTAATCTTGGCTTTAAATCCTTCAACCGGGAGTGTAATTTGCGACTTCTTTATATCTCTGTCCGTTTCTGGTACGTACGAATCAACAATGTGTGTTAACCGTTCTGTTTCGTACTCTAGAGCAGAAATCATTTCTTCCAAAGGCTGAGCTATTGAAGCTTGAAGGAGTAAAATAGATGCTGTAGGCTTTTTACCAGTGGCCTCACACACATGAGATAAGCCGTTATTTAACTGCTGCAGTGGTTCAGAAAGCGTCTCAAATATAATCTGACTGCCTGGAGTTTTGACATCATCTGAAGGAACAAGGGACTTAAAGGAATCGAGCGCAACCTGGAGTTCACAAACAGAATCTTGTAAGTTTTGAAGTTGAGGTACAGACATAGAACTTTGATCCATTGCAACACCCATTGTTGATACTTGTTCAATTCCATTAGTGAACTCTAGAAGAGGGCTTAATAGTGTGCAGAGGTATGATGCTTCAGAGGAACTTAATACCATATCACTTTCAAATTTAGTATTGATTACGTTTTGTAATGTTGCAATGTGATTCTTTAGATCATTTGCAGTGAACAAAAGCTTTTCAGCAGTTCCTAATTGTGGCACGTGCCCCTGAGCAGATATTATTTGCAAAGATAGTTTTCCAAGTTGTTCCTGAGTTTCTCTTAAATTTTCTGCTAGGTTAATCGTTAATGTCCGGTCTATTACTGGTTGCCCTTCTGGCACATTCTCTAGTTTTGATCGAATTGTACTTAAAATATTTTTAAGGGCAGTAAAATGCGGTTTTAACGAGTGTATTGAGCCAAATATTGAGTTCCAATCAGCAAACGGAGACCGAGAACTAGATTGATGCTTGGGCAACTCTTCTATTTTTTGAAGTGCTTTGCTTAAACAGCTGTCCATTTCAACGGCGTGGGACACAACAATTTCTTTTGATTTGGCTGATGCCACAATCTCAAAACTTTGGAGATTAGATTTCAGATCTCTAAGTGAGTCATTAATTTCGACAAACTTCTGAGGTGTTAGAGAATTTCCAAGATCTTCTTCCCCAGATTCCATAGCAATTTGAACCTGCGTAGCACGAACTGCTCTCTGGACGTCACAAAATGAAGATAGAATTGTGTGAACGATTTCAGGCTGCGTTGAGCCTGAGTCAATTAATTTTTCTTCAAGCTCATTTGTCGTTGAGTTTATCTCATTGGAAAGCACTGACATTGCTTTAGATATTTGAGTAAGGGAATTGTGAAGACTAGTTGGATTGATGTCTGTCTCTAGGTCACTAGAGAGCTTCTGCACAAGAAACTCAACTCCTGCCAATGGCTGGATAAGATTGAGACAAGCATCCTTTAGTTTCTTCGATTGAAGTCCTTCAAATCCTGGTTCAGGTAGCAATGAAATTTGTTCAAACAGAGAACGAAGAGTAATTGACGTTTGTTTCATCGCATCAACGTAGATTTCACTTGCCACACCTGCAGGACCAGATATTTCCGTATATGCTCCTTCTAACTTTAATAAGGCTGCTGTCAGTTTCTGCATTGGAGGCACCAGTTTTTGCAATAATGGGTAGTTTGTTGAATTTGCAGCTGTTTTTGTGACATCTGATTTTGTTTTAACAACTTCTGCAATTAATTGTGTGATTGGCTCGTTTAAGTCCTTTAAATTTAGAAAATGCTTCCCTGGAGTCGCATTTACATCCTGTAGAGCAGCAAACAGCTGTACGTCATTCAATGCTTCACACATTGTATCAAACTGTGGGAACAATGTTTGAAGATCTACGTCAAGTGGCTTCACAAACAGCGTAAGATCTCCCGGTTGCAAAAGAAGCCCTTGTTGTTTTTCAATCAGCTTCGTGCCCAATTCGTGGAAGGGCTCCTTAAGTGAACCCAGGACCAGGGCTCCCGTTTTGTCCTGGGGTACTTTCTTCATGGCCAGTCGGCGTATTTGTGATACTGAGTTTTCAACTTCATAAGCACATTTAAACAGAGATTGCAGTGTTTCCAAACTTTCCGCAAGAGATATTTCATCTGTTTCTTTTGGTCTACGTAGCTGAGTAAGGAGACTTCCTAAGTAGTTCTCAAGATTTTGAACAGCTGGAACTAAAGTTAGAAGAGCAGGAGTTGTTTCTGGGTTTAGTTCTTCGTCTGTAGACTGGTCGACGCACACCTCTCTACCAGCTTTGGCCAGAGCCTCTTGTAATGCCTTCAAAGGACTTTGTACTAGTTCCGCAACCGATTTCTGTTCAGTAGTAGATTTTCGCACATTTCCCGGGAAAAACCGTTCTTCAACATGAAGAAGGCCCTTATTTAACTCGTTCAATGGCGATGTTATACAATCAAGCGATGCAATTGAAGGCTTTGATGAACTGTCTGTGCTTTCTGTTAAGATGCTTTCGCTTGCTCTGGTGATAGCGTGCGACAAGTTGTCAAGAGGTTCGAAAAGAGTACAGACTTCGAATAAGTGAAATACTTCTTCAGATTGCTGGGCGGCACATTTCTTTTGAAGTGCAGATAAAACTCTTTTTAAGTTGTGTAAAGATATTTCTAAACCTTGCAACACAGATATGTCGTAACTTTGAGGTATCGACTCAAGACTCGCCTCAAGCGACACTTGCTGTTGGATTTGATTCAGTCCCCTTTTTAATCTTCGAATTGGTTTTTCAAGGTTTTCCAAAACAGAAACAGAACAGAACTCTTGGCCTGCGTCCAAGACTGCTCGTTGTTCAACTAGTGCTATTCCTCTACGAAGCTCATCCATCGGTTGTGACACAGCTTCGAGAATTGAGAGGCTTTTTCCTTGGATCAGACTAGCATCAGCTTCCGTTATTGCCTGTTGCTCGATTAGCTCAATTTCCGTCTTTAGCACCTTCATCGGATATAGTAGTTTCTCCAATGATGCGAATTTGGGTTTGTCAGATAAAATATCTCCTCCGTCAACTTTGACTACATCTGACTGGAACTTTTCAAGGGCGTTGAGTAATTCGGTCACGGGTTCGGCTAAAGTCTGGAGAGATAGAGATGCCTTCATTTTGGCTTCAGATTCATCCACAGTCGTTCGTTTCGGGCCAATGGCTTCAACTTCTTCAGCGCTGCTGCGACCTGATGGAACACATAAAATTTGAAGTCGTTCTGTAACGAAATCTTCACCCATTCCTAGTGCTGCTCGCTGATGTATTAAGCCCATTTCCCTTTGGAACTCTTGCATTGGTTGAGACACGGACTCCATTATTGAATGGGTTGTCCTTTCCAGTAATGTCTCTTCGGTCCCCCCGAGGACAGACTGTTGCTCAACTAATGCAAGTTTTTGTTGAAATTCCTGCAGTGGTTGTGCCAAAGTTTCAAGGATAGACATTTCTGTTTGACCCGGAGGTACAACAGATTCTTCATCTATGTGCTGTTCAATTAAGCTAAGACCCCTTTGTATATCCTGTAAAGATTGCGACAAATCATCAAGAATTTCAAAGCTTTCTTTGGCTGATTTGTTATCTATAGATTGAGAAGCAACTTGATTTTCAACCAGCATTAAACCATTCTGAATACTCTGCAAGGAATGTGATAGAGAGTCTAGAACAGATATCTGACCTGTCTGATATTCTGGAACAAGCGCGTCGATACATGCAAGTTGTGGCTTTTTTGGAATGTTATCTTCATATATGGTGTCGTCCTCAGTGACACTGTTAGATTCTACAGAAGTCGTTCTGCCCCGTTTACCCAGTTTCGATAAACCTTTTTGAGGAGTTTTGCTTTCTGTCTTACAACTTGTATCTTTACCTTCTGCTGACTTCTGAAGTTGGCCAGTCTCGGATTTTCTTAATTTGCTGCTTGACTCGTCGCTTGCTGATGATTTTCTTTTGGAAGCCTTACCAGACATGTTTTCATCAGTCAAATTCTCCATGTTCTCGTTTGCGCTCTTATAACTTGTGTCCATTTCCAGCGAATGCCCCTTTGCATCAGAGTAGGAATCGCTCTTTTCCTCAATTGATCGGGACTCTTTACTTCCAGATTTTGAGTCTGTGAGATCTTTTCTTGTCTTTCTAGGCGGCCGCTTTGGAGGAATTTCTTCGTTTGACAAGCCTGACCTTGCTAGTGGCTCTAACGCTCTATCAAATATTTCTTCTGAATCAAGCCGCTCAGACTTATCTTCGTCTTCGTTAGGAGTATGCAGCGTCATTGCTTCGTCACTTATGGAAAACTCATCCATATCCGCATCAGTTCGTAAGTCTTCTTCTCCTGCTGGCCCAAAGTAGTCGGGAGACACGTCTACTAAAACAGCTTCCATCAGGAGGTTTCCAGACGTGGACGATTCTTTCATAAATCGTAATGGTGGCAGCTCCACGATATTGTGTTCTAAAAAATAACAAAGATTGTCATTGAAAATGTTAATATCGGCTTAGTTGTTTACTGTCTACAGTATATTGCAAAACTCACCTGATATGTGTTCGCTAAGCTCGTCTGCGTACATTTCAACCACTTGGAGTGCTTCTTCTTCTGTAAGATCTGGTGTTTCATACAGTGAAACAGATACTTCCTTGCCATCAAAGGAGAAGCTAACCTCTCCCCTTTCGTCTAGAGAAAGTGACTGCTCGGCGTCGTGCATTTGAGAGGTGCGCTCTTCGTGAATCGTGGACAAAGACGGGTCTCGGACTATGGGTTGGGGCGCCCGTGCTGCACCACTCTTGGGAGATCCTCGCTCTAGAAAAGATAAGGAAGAAATGTAATAGTTTACGTTATTAAGGATCAAACTAACATGCTAAATATTGCTTGTATAACGAAGGCAAAATTTCTGCAATTTGTAGCTGGCATTCACAGAAAACTGGAGGTGAATGTAGAAATACTCCAATTTATGGACTAACTTACCCTCGAATCCTACAAGGGAAGCTGAGCTTGACACAGTGCCCATGCAGTTGGTTGCCTCACACGTGTAGGTGCCTAGGCAGCATGTTCCGTCTTGTCCCGAAATGATTCGATGAATGTCGCCCGGCTTCAATTCCTCTCCATCCTTGTACCATTTAAGCACAGGCTGGGGAACGCCTATGACCTAAAATAAAATGCGTCCATAAATAAGTAAGTTTACGCAAATTTCAAACGGACTCCAAAATAATGATTTACCTACCTTACACTCTAAATTCACAGCCCCTTCTTCGGAGAGCACAGCGCGTAAGCATTCAAGGAAGCGAGGCTTCTTGAAGTGCTTTGGAATGGTTAATTTCAAGAAACAAGAAGTAACGCTGTGCCCAAAATCGTTCGTTGCTACGCATTTCCACTCCGCCTATAGAAAAAATACAAAATTAAAGTAAGCAATTAGCAATTTAAAAAAGAAAGGCTTTTATTGGCAGGAGCGTTTGTTTTTGTTACCTGATCGTTAACGTCGATAGGTCGAATGTCGAGATGGCAGGTGCCCAGGTTTTCGCGGGTTACTCGGAATTTGTCCCCCTCCACCACCGGGTCATCGTCACGGAACCACTCCAGCTTTGGTTCTGGCGCTACGCTTACTGTAAGCATAAGTGAACACGAGTGATACAGACAGGCCCCTTCCATCGGCTGCCTTAAATCACCATAGTTTGACAGACGTACCCTGTACAGTAAACCGGAAGTTATCGCCTACTCTAGCTTCTTGCGATCGCAAGCCGCGGACAAAGTGAGGAACGCTGTCGCTTGAAAATAGGGACAATCGCTCCTCCTCGCTCAGCTGGCTTTGGATGTCCTCGACAGTGAGCTCTGCAGTGCTGCTGGCCTCGCCCATACAGTTTCGAGCGATGCAGCAGTACGACCCTAGAAGCCATTTGAAAGGAACATGAGTGAAAAGAATCCCTCAGTTCACATGGACATTTTTCCATATCCAACCGACCTAAGGAATTGGTTCCGGTGAGTTGATAAACATCGCCCGGTCTTAGCTCCTGTCCGTCTTTAAACCAGCGTAGTTGTGGCGTTGGGAACCCAACCACTTTACACTCAAACGAAACAAGGCCTTCTTCGGTGAGAATAGCACGCAAGCTTTCTAAAAATCTTGGCTTTCTGTAGTTCTTTGGATCTGTAAAAATCATAACGCTCAGTTCCCAACTAAGTGGAAAATTAAACTTCTCAAAGAGAAGAATGCAAAATTAAGCGTAACCGTAATCCTGCGTTTGTTCAACTCTAAATCTTACAAGTCATGGTGACAACGGCCGTCGAGATGCCTCGGACGCCCTCGAACGACGTGGCGACGCACTTCCACTCGCCGTCATCGCAGGCCTCGAGGGCCGAGATCTCGACTGAGTAGCCGCCGAGGCCATCTTCCAGGATACGGTAACGTTCGCCAGTCTCAACGCGGCCTTCGCTGTTGTACCATTGGATGCTCTTCGGCCAGGGAGGCACTTGAACTGGAAACAAGATAAACAAACCAACCCATTATGAAATTGCATCTGTTGGCAAGTGCATGTGCAATACTGTCCGCCGCCCGCGGGAACTGTTTTCAGCCGCGGGGTATTGACTGCTGCTTTTTTAAAACCTTACCGTGGCAAGATAGAGTCAGTGAGTCGCCGATCCGGGCTTTCTCGTGGCTGATTTCTTCGTCAAATGTAGGCGGCGGCCCAGTTGGAAGCAAACTGTGGGAACAAGTAGCATTAGGCACCTTGCAGTGTCTCACGTGGCGGCTGCCGGTCGGACGCGTAGACCTACCAGTCTGCCGGCTTGAGCGAGCCCTCCCTGCTGCCGCGACCCACGACGTGCACCCGGGACGACGAGTACGCCCTGCCCATGCAGTTGACGGCCTCGCAGGTGTAGGTGCCGAGGGAGGTGGGGTCCGACGCGTCGGCCGTGAGCGCGAACACGTCCCCGGCGCGGATCTCCTTGGCGTCCTTGTACCAGCGCAAGGCGGGGGTGGGCACGCCGACCACCTTGCACTCGAGGGACACGGTGCCCTGCTCCGTCAGCAGCGCGCGGAGCTCCTCCAAAAACTCGGGGCCCTTGTACGCCTTGGGCACTGCGAGGGAGAGAAACGACAGGGGTCATTCCACCGCGATCACTGTTCCAACACTGACTTTGTTTTCCGGTGGGAAAAGTCAAAGTACCCAGGACGCTGAGCTGGCAGGCGCAGGCTGAGCGGCCGGCGTCGTTCTCCGCCACGCACGTCCAGCGGCCGTGGTCCTCCACCATGACGGGGCCCACGTCCACGCACCAGAAGTTGCCTTCGTTCAGGAACTGGAAGCGGTCGGTCTCCTTGACCGGCCTGTCGTTTCGCAGCCATGTTACCTGGAACAGATGCAAGGTGGAGGTGTCTGGCAAATGACACCACAACGACACCCACGGGCTGGAATCAGAGCAGCGTGGCAGGTACCTTGAGGTCGGAAGGGCTGCGTATCTCGACGAGGAACCTGGTGCGGGTGCCGACCTTGACGGCGAGGTCGGCGAGGGAGCGGAGGAAGTGCGGTGCGTCGTCGTGCGTGGGCACGCTCAGTGAGTCCGACATGGACATCCTGGAGTCGACGCGCAGGTCGTAGCCGGCGCGCGACTCGCCCGACGAGTTGGAGGCCGTGAGCGTGTAGCGGCCCGAGTCGTCACGCGACACGCGCGTCAGCGACAGCTGCACAGCGTGCCCGTCTTTGCGTGCCACGTGGAAGCGGTCCCCCAGGAGCCGGCGGTCGTTGCGGGACCTGCAAGGACAATCGCTGAGTCATTGTTGTCCGTGGGTCGGCCGTGGGTCGCGCGGCCTGCACCAAGGCGTGCACCAAGACGTGCACCATGGCGTGCACCGAGGCGTGCCGGCGGCGCTGCGTGTCACAGCGGCAGGGCAAGGCGAGGGTGCTGGCGCGGCGCCAGGGCCGCGGGGGCTGGCCACCCTGGCCGCCGCCCCGGCGTCCCTGTCGGTGCCCGGCGCGCGGCACTCGAAGCCACGCTGAGGGAAGGACGCCGCGACGCCCAGACGGCCGCCGCCCCGTCGGCCCTGTCAGCCCTGTCCCCCGCAACCTGCCGGGCTGTGCGACGCGCGACGCGCCCCCTGACCCGGCCGAGTCGGCGCGCGTCCGCTGCCAAGCTCGACGAGCGGCGCGACGCATTTTCGCGCGCATTTCCACCGAAACGGCGCGCCTGGCCGGCCGGTGACGCTCTGCGGCCCACGCATCCGCCGCGGCGCCGCTGGGTCGCTTTTGGGGGCACATTGTTATGTAACGGCGGGGCGCCGGGCGGGGCGGGGCCGGGACCGTGCCAGGGCGGCGTCAGGTTGGGAGACAGATGGCTCTCTTATCATTCATCGGAACACCCCGGGGGCACTCAATGGGCGCGGGCACACGCCACAGGTGGAAAACTAAGCACGTCAGTGATTATTCAGTAGCCAGTGTGCGCACGGCAGGGCTGCTGAAATTGAGCGACGCGGGGAGGGGCGAGTGTGTCAGCAGCGCACCGCCTGGTCGCGGAGTGGCCTTCCCCTGGACCTCCTGGGTCGCACTCCACCGGGTCAGCAGCATAACGGCAACCGCGAAGGTGGCGCGGAAGAAAAACAAAAACACGGAACAAACGCCATTGCTCGGTGCGGGGCTAGTTCGCCAAATGTATAAATCAGTCATCTAAAAATATCGGCTGAAACATTGGCAGGTGGCTTGTGGTGTGGCCCCCTCGGCCTGGGCGTGTGTATGCGGGAGAGAGGGGGGGGAGGCAGACATGCAGCGAAATGACGTGCCGACAGCAGTCGAAATGCTCGCCCCGCTTCGGCCGGAGCTGGGTAAACTGTTGATTTAAGGCGAAGTGCGTGCCGACGTGTCAAAATCGACGGCGGCGGAAAGGGAAAGGGGGGGAGCAGCCTTCCTCCTGCCAGCCGTTCCGTTTGTGTTCACCTATTTTCGCAAGACTCGTGTGTTTCGATACCGCGCGCGGAAAAGACGTCATTAAGAAAAGGATAAGGTCACATCATTCTTGTTTGATGGCACGCTCAAGCTAGTCACTAGCTTTGGTGTGTGTGTGTGTGTGTGTGTGTGTGTGTGTGTGTGTGTGTGTGTGTGTGAGAGAGAGAGAGAGAGAGAGAGAGAGAGAGAGAGAGAGAGGGAGAGAGAGAGAGAGCACGACAGTGCATGCCGGCGAGTGTGCCAGTGTAGGTGAGTGATGCACTGGGTGGCGTCGGGCTGACAAGGATGCGTGCTGCAACTCGGCTTGCGACCTCGAACGTGATGTGTGCATAGAATGGCACGGAAGGGGACGGCCGACGGCGTGGTGTCGCCGGCCCAGGACGCCGACGACGGCGTGCCTGGCTGGCGTGGCTACCGTGACCGGGTTCCTTTGCCGCTGGCCGTGCCCACCCTCGGCTATTCCCGACTGGCTCGGCCAAGGTTGGGCCGCGCCTCGGTCGCCTCGGCTTCGCGAGGAATGGCGGAGTGTCACCGCATTCACGCGTACCGGTACAGCCTTATTGCTTTTCAGCGCCGACGGAGAACGGCGACGTCACCGCCATCCTTTCGCCGAGTGTCGCTGCCAGTGGCTTGTTTCCGGGCGCTTCGGCCGCCCCAAGCTGCGCCGGGTTCGGCGTTGGCTCCGGGCCGGCCTGCCGGAGGCGGCAGGGCAGGGCAGGGCTGCGCGCACAAGAGCCGAGGGCGGACAAGGCTCGAAATAGGGGCGGCGAGGCCAGGCGAGGCCTTCGCAGTGCCCTGCTGTGTTTGTGCCAACATGCGTGGCGTGCCCCGGCCTGCCCCGGCCTGCCCGAATCAAGGCGACGGCTCTGTTATTCCCCTACCCTCTACCCGCTTCCATTCCCCTGGCTTCGGAGAGGCCGGAAGAGGCGCGTCCCCAAACGCACGCCACTGCCGTCTCGGGGAATAAGTTGAAAGTACAGTGGAGGTGGGCCTCGTTCACGACGGCGCCTGGGATCGAACCGCGAACTCACTCACCCTTTGGAGGAGGCCGAGGAGCTGGCGGAACCCTTGCCCGCCTTGCCGTTCGCACACTTGCACTTGCAGCACTGGCTGCCCATGCCGCCGCAGCGTCAGCCAGGCGTCAGCAGCCACGGCCGTGGCTCAGGTGCGGCCCGCCCCCGCGGCCTGCGTGGCCTGCCTGGCCAGCACGGCCTGCATGGCCCGGCGGGGCTGGCGGAGGCGAAGGGGCGTACAGCGGCACACACTGGGTAGGGCTCCCCGTCGCACTGGGCGACGCACTACGGCCCGGGCCGACACATGATCACTGCCTGGACGTCGCCGTCGAGTTCGTCGCGGTGTGTGTCTGTGTGTGTGTGCGTGTGTGATGACTGCGAGTAGGTGTGAGTGTGTGAGTTACCCGCGGGGAGCGGCGTGCGCGTTTCCACCAGCTCCCAGGGCGGAGCGGAGTGAACTGACAAGTTCTCGCGCCCTGGCGCGGCGGGCGCGGCGGGCAGGCGGCGTCCTGGGGTGCTGCTGGGTGCTGCTGGGCCGTCTTGGGGGCGCTGGGCGCGTGCGGCTGTCTCGCTCTGCTCGCCTTTTCCACTCTTACTTCTCTTTCTTGTCCCCCGCACGCCTCCCACACTGTGGCGCGGGATATTTTTGTCGGTGAGAGAGACGTGCGGGGAAGCCGCCGATTAAAACACACACTGCTGGCGGCGCCGTGGCCCCTGCCTGCCGGCCTGCCTGCCTGTCTGCCCGCCTGCCTGCCTGCCTGCCTGCCCGCCTGCCTGCCTGCCCGCCTGCCTGCCTGCCTGCCCGCCCCCGTGCACCTTGTCACCGCCCCTGACTTCCCCACGCTGCGCCGCCGTGGATGCGTCGCGGAGCCTCACGGTCGAGGTGACGACCCTGCTGTGCGTCTCCATTCAACCCGGCGACGCGACAAGCGGGGGTCGCCGCGGGGGGCGGAGTGTTTTCTTTTGAGCCTCCGCCTTCGCTCAGACGACGACAAAGCGGGTGCACTGTTGGCGTGCGACACGCCACTATCTGCTGTCTTTGGATGAGAAATCGGGCTCCTACCGGAAACGGGGTGCCGACGACTGAGGGTGCGCAGTGCGGCGCGGCGTGCCGGCGTGCCGCGGCTATGGCCCGCTTTGGTCTGCTTTGCCCGCCTAGCGCCTGTCAATGCCGGCATAGGCCATCCCGCTGCACAGCCCTGCGCCACGGGCCAGTCTACCTCGCAGGCGCTCCATCCACGCACTTTCAGACGATCGGCCTCTGCACTCCGTCTTGGCCTGGACCTTGGCACCCTTGGCCTTGAGATGCTCACTCACACTCACGCCAGCGACGTCACCTGCGGGGTCAGGCGGTGTGTCGAGGTGTCTGGGCCATAAAAATGCCGGCGCCGCGTTTGAGGTTGCCGCCGGCGGGACGCCACGCCGCGTCCAACGACCGCCGCGGCCAGAGGCCAAGACGCCGGGCCGGACTCGACACGGACGCGGCGCGTCGCGGCCGACCGGACGCCGGCGCTGATTGGCGGGGCTGCGCGACGCGGCGACGGCCGGAAGGAACGAATAAGCGCGAGGCGTCGCGGCGCCGAGGTGCGGGGCGGACTGCGGCCCGCCACGGTCCCTGAGAACGACACCCCGCCCCGCCCATCCCACCCCGCCCCGCCCGCCCCGCCACTTGGCTGCCAGCCTCAACTATCAATAGCGGATTAATTGCGCGATCTCATGGGCCTAACAGCGTCCAGACGCAGCTGCCGCCGCGACGCACGCCTGGGAACCGTTTCGCGAACGTTCCACATTTTAACGCAGTTTGCGTGACGGAATTTACGAGAAAAATTTACGAAGGCGAAATGAAACGGAAGAATTGCGGCTGTTAACAGGATCACCAGGGTTGTCACAGACGGGCAAAAAAATGTGTGAGAACGCGTGGGGTTCGGCATGACAGTGTCGGATGGGTTTGTTGCCGTGGCCGGTCGGCGGGCTGGGCCTGGCACGGGGCAGCGCCTGGTTCTGGCTGGCGAGAAAAACTGGGCCACCGGGACCAAGAGCGCGCACCGCACCGCCTGCCACCCCAACGAGGCATCCCTTCGTTCGGGTTGCCGAAAGCTCAACGAAGCGGTGACGGGTGTCAAACCGGGAGCGTGCCTCGGAAGCGCGTGCGGAAGCATGATTATTTTTATGGCCATCTGCACAATTTTTCTGGGAGGAGGTAAACAACGTTGGAGCTGCAACATGCATGCAGGCAGGGCGGAAACTGCCGGAGTGGGGAAGCCCGCACGCCAGTCCCAGGGAAGGACCTCATCTTTTCTCGCCCTGCCACGCCCCCCACCCCCACCCCCACCCCCACCCCCACCCCCCCCCCACCCCCACTCTCGCCCCGCAGCGGGCATTGCGTTCCACGCGTTGCTGGCGTGGGCCGCTTGTTTACTAGGCATCGCGAAAACGTTTTGGCGGCTCTTTTAAAACAGACACAAAAAAAGTCGGGAGGAAGAGGGTGCGTGTGTTGGAAGTTGTTTACAAACGGTGACCGCGGAGCCGCGCGCCTTGCTCGGCCGAAGGCAGATCATGACGGGGCTGCGGCTCTTCGCGTCACGCTGTGACGGTCACGTCTCGACTCGTCACGTGGGCGTCACGCTCGTCACGGCTCGTCACACGGGCGTGACACCGCGGCTCGCAGGTGTAAATGGGGCGGTAGCGGCACTCACCAGTAGACGTCGGTTGGCTCCCCGCCGGCGACGAGCAGCGTGAGTGTGACGTCATCGCCCTCCTGGACGGCGACGCTCTCCTGGTCGCGCGGGGGCGGCACGACCTCCGGAGGGGGCGGTGACGGTTCCGGGGGCGGGGGCGGGGGTGCGGCGTTCTCCTGGCTGTCCCCTGCAACAAGGCGAGGCGTCAGAGGCATTCGGGCAGGGCGGCTGCTGTCTCGGGGGTTGCCGATGTCGTTCCAGGCTCAATTCATGAAGGCAGTGTGTACACGAAAGTTGGCACAGGGGTTGTATTTCGGTTAAGCTTTTGAAAGACACAGAACGTAATGCACGTGGCGCTGGCTGGCTCGCGGCGTGGAGTCCTCTCCGTTACCCGCTTCTCTGGCGCCACCGCCGTCCTCGCGGCCGCCGTCGTCGTCCTGGCTGCCGGGCGCGGCTGTGGCGGCCGGCGCGGCGGCGCTGGCGGCCGAGCACGTGGCCAGCAGCATGAGGACGCGCGTCTCCAGCGCGCGGAGCCGCGTCCAGCACTCGGCGCGCCGCGACGCTCGGGCCGCGGCCGCGCGGACGCTCTCAGCCATTCCTGGAGCAGGACGAGGAGAGTGAGGAGGCGCCCAGAGTCAGTAGTGCATTCCCGTTGCTGTCACGGTATTACCCTGCCATGTCAGAGCGGTGGCCGGGCTGACCCCGGGTTTGCGCAGGGCGGGTCCATTCTGATTGCCGATCGGCGCTGCGGACAGGGAATACAGAATTCAGGCAACAAAATGGAACCATCGGTTCAGAAAGAAAGAAGAGCATTTTTCGCGTTTTACCTGATCGGGATGGCAGTGGCAAAGGTGTACTGGCGGGCTTCCTGGCGAGTCTGGTGACTGGCTGCGCGAGACCTGGCAGGGCCCTGCGGATGCCTCCTGGAACACAACCCCGACTTCAGCCAACATTTCGCATTCTGATGGTGGAATGTGTGCTACAAAAGAATAGGTCGACGGTATTCTGTTAAGTAGGGGCAACTGTTACGGTATCGTGCATTGATGGAGTATCGTGTCTTTTTATTTTCTTCGACTTGGAATTTTGGTGCTGTTTGTCGAGTCATGTCCACCCAGGATGGCGCGTCCTACGTAAGCAGCCGTTAGTTTGGGGCCTGGAAACAGGCAGGAAAAGTGCAAGGGTCGGGTCCAGGGTGCAGGACGAAGTCTCGCGTGTGGCGGCAGAGAGCGGTTTGAGGGTTGCCTGCCAGTGGGCCAGAGCCAGTGGGGGTGGGGGCATTGCCGGGGCATTGGGTGGGAGGCTTAGTCTAGTCGCCCTGCTGGTCGTAAATCCCTTGGTATGCCGAGTGGTTCGACTGACGCGCTCGCGAGGGGAGGCACAAGGGATGAGGAGAAGTGCCTGCAGAGCGATTGCACACATCGCCGTCGGCGCTTCCGTCTCTCTCGCACTCCTTCCGGTAAATGCGAGAGAGACGGAGACAGAGCGACGGATAGCGCAGTGCGCGGAACCAGCCTACAAGCGGGCGGAGGCGGAAGCAAGTGGCAGCAGCAAATCAGTCGGGGAAAGTAGTTAGAGACTCACCCAGGGCGCAGGGCGGGTGCCTCTCTTCTGGTCTCCAACACGGTGCGGCGCACGCGGCTTAGGCGAGCACTTGCAGTGGCGTTCGCTCGCGTTCGCTCCGGTCCACGCGGGGAACGGAGAACACAACGAGCGGCGCGGGCAGCGCGGAGCAGTGTGCCAAAGAGAATAGCACTGCTCTAATCCGCGTGGCAGGAACACGGCAAAACAAAACGCCCAAGAAGAGAGTGCATTCGGAAAGTGGCGTAGCTCCGCTGCCCCTGCTGTCTGCGGCGCCTCGTTGTGAGCTGCAGAGTCGTTTTCGTCGCTCTGTCTCTCTCGCACCTGCACGGCACGCCCCGTGAGTGCGAGAGAGACAGCGCGACGAAAGCGACTCTCGGAATCAGTCTGCTGCTAAGCTTTTGTGCTCGGTGGAGAGCTGCGGAGCGAAGAGGGAAGCAGCCACAGGGAATCGTCAAGAATTAAAACGCGCGGCGCAGTCGGCGAAGCGAGTGATTATGCAGTGTTCTCCGTCGCCCTGCCTCTCTCGCACTCGTGGGGCGTCCCGCGGGGGCGCGAGAGAGACGGCATGGTTCGCGGAATCGGCCTGGTGCAGTCCGGCCCGTCCGTCAGCCGTCAGGCCCGTCAGGCACTGGAGCTGTGCGTTCGCAAACGAGGCGCTTAACGCGGGCGGGCACAGAGCACGCACAGTGTGCAGGCACACAGTGCGGCCGCAGCGGCGAGCCGAAAGGCCGGTCATTTTCATTGCAGTTCTAGTAGACGCCGCCGGGCCGTAGCGAGCCGCCCCGCCGCCGTTTCGCCCTCCGCAACCTTTTGGTGGCCCCGAAATAGACCTAGGCGGCACGCCGCGGCACGCCGCTGAAAACGTTGCTGCTATTCCTGCGTCCTGCGGCCAGGGATGGCGGCCCTGGTCCTGGTGGCCCTGGCCAGGACAGGCCAGGCGCGTCGCACAGGCACGCTGTAGGATTGTTGTTTTAGCCGGAGTTCTCCGAGTTAGCTGCCTAACCGAGCCGGCAGTTGGACTTCCAATGGAAGGCGTCGGTTGTGTCCCCGCCGGACTCGGTCAACAGCAGCCAGTGCTGTCCACCGCTTGACCCGCAGGCCGCTGGCCGTAGTCCCCGCGTCCGAAGGGCGAGGGCGGATCGGGTTGATCCCATTCCCCGGTGAACTAATGACCTATTAATACCGGGGCAGGTGATGCGGCGGGACGCGGCCGGGCTGGGAACACGGGCCGGTACACTGGCGACAAGCGCGCGGCCGCACCGCGCCATCTAGCGGCCGGCGCCGGCACCAGGGCGCCGCGCTGGCCGAGCGTCTGGCGCGCGGAGTATCGCCGCGGCCCACCCGCTGCCGGGAATGCCCACTGCACTGCCGCCGTGCCGCCCGCACGCGGTATTCCCTCGACCAGGAGAGTATCGCGGCGACACAGAGTGCTGGTGGAGGCCGATGAAACTGCCGACGCGTTTTGAGCTCCAGAGTCGTCCAACAGGACTCGAACCGAACGTGTGATCCTACCATTGGATTCCTCGTTCGGAGAGCAGTCCATTGGTGGGGTTAAACGTTCGGTTCAAGTCCAGTTTAGTGACTCTGGAGCTCTTAAACGCGTCCGTGTTTTTGACCGCCCCCACCGGTGTTCTGGCCCACCGTGCGGCACAGGGTGGAGGAATAGAACACGTGGACGGGCGGCCCGCTGACCGGGACACACCGGCACAGGGAATGCAGTCGCTGCTGGACGGATGCCACTTTCCTAGTTTTGATGCGATATCGGAACGACGAAACAGTGCCACCAGAAGAGACTTACATCTTCTGTCGAGCGCGCAGCTCAGGACGCTGAGCATCGCGGTACACCACTGCACTGCACCCCACGACGCCCCTCGGCACTGTGTCCCCCGCCCCGCCCCGCCCCGCCCCGCCCCGGCCGGCACGCCCCGACCTGCCCCACCACGGCCTGTCACGTGGCGAGCATGCATGCCAGGCCGCGGGCACCTCACCCCCGTGCCCCGGCCGGCCCGGCCGGCCTGCACCACACCGCGCGTCGCTATTCGTATCGACTTTTGTTTTTCGAGCGGGGCGGATACTTTTACTGGAAGCCCGCCTTGACAACAAGACAGCATTGTCCCTACCCTAGGCAATATTGAAGGTCCAAACGACCACACGGCCAACGAGGAAATGCAGGTGGCTTGTGACCTCTCCCATTGCACTTGGACATGTGTTTCCCTGCCTTGAGGTTCATGCCCACACTGGCTGTCGTACGCCGAAGCAACTAAAGCAGCTAACGTTGCTAAAGCAGCCAAAGCGCCCCTCCCTAGCTCGCTACTCGCCAAGATTTACACCCCTGCCTCGTGCTTCGGCGTGCTTCGGCGTGCTTCGGCGTGCTTCGGCGTGCTTCGCGCCTCGCATTAGGCGTCGCGTTTATGAGTAGACTTAATGAGCCCCGCGAGCGCCGCGCGAAAACGGCGCGACGCAGCGACGAGGCTCCCCTCTATCCAATTTTACGAGCATTTATTTTAAGACGTCAGAGATCGAAACCTTATGATAGAACGACTAAGGAAAATCTCTCGTGTGACTACAGCATAATTTGCATTTATGGGAGTCATTTCCAGTGGGGACGACGACGCGCGCTGCAGACCGAATGCAGGCCTCGCGTCACAGGTCGCGTTCATGTGGAGCCACCCTCTCCCTCCGCGAGTGCGGCGTCTTCCTCGACGCGGGTTCGAAGCTCGCCGGGACGCTCCATGTGTTGCCATCGCCTCGCGGGGCTTGAAGCACCTGAGCCGGCCGGCATTCCCAATGAAATCGGAACGAGCCCACCGCGTCGCCGTGTCGGCGGGGCCGGTGCCGGCACCCCCGCCCTACACGAGGTGATCCAGCGCCCAGTGCCCCGGCAAGCCTCACCTGTTGTGATTGTCATATCCTCGGGGTTGCCGGCATACTCCTGGACGGCGTGTTCCCGCTGACGCCGCGTCGACGCCTGCCTGGAGCGCGCGGGGGTTGGACCCGCAGCGCCGGGTGTGCCGCCACCCGGGGTGGGCACGCGCACTCACACACACGCACGCACACACACGCACGCGCCACCACGCGCGCGGCCGAACGATTCACTAAATTGGGGGAAATTCGCGGTCCCGTCGGAACTAAGTTCGACGCCGCACTGCCGCCCCGGTCGCGGCGTGCTGTGGCTCTGCGCCCCGCCGGCCCCCCCGCCGCCCCGCCGCGCCGCTTTGACGTGGTCCTGGGAGGCTGGGGGTACCGCCCCTCCGCGCCCGCCCCGCCCCGCCCCGCCCCGCCCGGCGTGCAGCGCGCCCTCTCCCTGTGCCGCCCGGCTGCGGCCCGGCTCGGCGCGGACACGGTGAGCGCCGTCGTTTCGTAGGGACGTTATCACTCTCCTTTTTCTTTGGCCGCGTCGTGCGCCGCGTCTATGAGGGCTGCGTGCGCGGCGACGCGGCGAGGAGGGTGGCCGCCTCCTTCCCACGGCCCGCAGCCCGCGGCCGGCAGCGACGAGGACGGCGTGCTTTGGCGCATGGCGGACCGCCGCGGACGCTCCTCACCCCGAAACGCCGGCGCGGTCGAGCTGCGATCTAAATGCGTCCTTCGCGGCGGGGTGGGGCGTCGCGGGACGTGGCGGGGCGCGTCCTCCTGTCCGTGCCCCGAACAGCCCCGAACAGCCCCGCGCGTCGCCCCGCGGCCGTTTTCGTAAAACGGTTTTCGGTGGGCGCCGTGACGTCACCCTGCATCAACATTGGCCCCCGCTGCCTGCGCGGCGCCAAGCGCGGTCAGCGGTGCCGTGCTGAGCTCGTGACGGCCGTGGTTTTGGCAGAGGGGTTGCAACACGTAACGCTGCCGCCGACCACCGCCAGCGTGACCACTCCCGCCCCACCGCGGCGACGTAAGCGCAGCCCAGTGCGACGTGTTTTGCTGTGGGGCATTCCTGCATGCGGTTCATTTGGACCATGTGTCCGCAGGTGCACGAATATTGCTAAGTTGGTCGCGTGGTGTCCGAGGGGCCTAGGTAGAGTCGTCGAGCGACATGCCGCGGGCCGTGCACCGCGTCCTGCCCACCCCTCGCAGTGCGTGCCCGTGACCCCGTCCGAGGTGGAACACAGGTGGACGCGGTGGGGCTCCGCCAGGCAGGCTCCGCGCCGCAGCCGCCATCTTGCGGCGGGCCCGGCCGGTGCTTGCCGGTGGCGCTGCGGCGCGGCGGCCGCGGCAAGCAGCGTGTAGCAGACGACGCCCGACGGTAGGCCCTAGGCCCCACATGTCCCGGGTGTCCGGCTCGGCTCGGCCCCGGGCGGCCGGCCTCGGCCGGGCTCGGCTGGCGGGCTGGCGGCTCGACTCGCACCGCCCGGGCCTTCCTCGGCGTGGCCGCAGAGTGGCGGTGCCGCGGTGTGTCGGCTGGCCAGCAAGCCCGGCCCGCCAGCGCGCCAGGCCAGGGCCTTAGTAGTGCCCCTAGCCGCGCTGCGCCTGGTCGCTGCGCCTGGTCGCGCCGCGTCACGTCACGCGCAGTCCGCGGTACTGCACGCGGTCCGGCACGCGGTACGGTACGCGGTTCGCGGTACGCTACGGTACGCACGCCGTGCTCACAGCGCCCTGCCCGCTCCGAGGCGCCCCGCCGCCGCCCCGCCCGCCCCGGCGAAAGGGCAAACGTTGTGTCTGATCGCGAGTGACGTGACGCAGGGTCTCGCCGTGGCGCCATGACCGAGCGCGAAGACATCCTGCCCCTGCCTCTGTCACCTGTCTCGGTGGAGTCCACGCTCAAGTCGTTTCTCGAGCAACAGTCCCTGCTCCTGCCGATCATTGGTGAGTGGCCAGGGGAAGGATTCCCCCCCCCCCCCCCCCCGCCCTCGGCCCTCGGCACGCCCCCGCCGCAGGGCTGCTTTTGGCACGGTGGCTCGGCGGTGGCGCCCCGGGAGCCATCGGCCACCTCGGGACTTCCCTCTGCCCTGCTGGGTGGACGGCCCGGCCCGGGACCGGCGGGCCCAGCAGGGTGTCACCGCATCGCCGCGGCGCCGCGTCGCGAGACCTTTCACCCGCGAGCTCGCCGAGGAGAGGGAGGCCAGGGAAGCAGAGCGGAGCCGCCCGGTGCACGACGCGCTGCCCGAGTTGTCCGTCGTCCCGGCCGTACTCATCCCCCGCCGCGCGGAGGCAAGCCGGCAAGCCCCGCGACGAGCTTTCGCTTTCCCAGAGCCTCTCGGCCGGCACCCTCGGCATTCGGGCGAGCTCCAGGAGGAGGGTCTTGGCGTCCTGGCGACGCACCGCCGCCAAGCTATCGGCGCCGCGGTCCAGCAAGCGCACCTAGCTGGTGTTTCGTGTGGCCGCCGGGCGCGGCGACGACGGGGTGGGTGCGGACGTGCGGACCGCGGGCGGGGAGCGCCCGAAGATTCGGTCAGGGGGCGGGGCGGGGCGGGGCGATCTGTGCTGACAAACACAAGTCGGAGAGTGTCATGCTCGTCAACATTGGAAACTCCCTCGAACGGGCACGCCGGCCTCGTGCATCATCGCGAGGCGGAAGCTGTTTTTCGTTTTCATTTTGGCGACGGCGAAGAAAGTGCTTCGTCGGTCAAACGGGAGGGGACCACCGTTCAACGAGAGGTCGAAGTGGATTATTGTTCAAAAAAGAAGAAGAATAAGAATCAGAGCAGAAGAAGAAGAAGAAGAGGAAGAAGAAGTCCGAAGAAGAGGCGGGGGGAGCAGAAGGAGATGAAGAGGAAGAAGAAAAAGACGAAGGAGAGGCAGAAGAAGTCTAAAAAGAAGAAAGATGCTGCTCTCTGGGATGGGCTAGTGTCTCGGCTGGTGCCGGCTACGCGTGTGTCCGTAGCTAGCCGAAGAGGCGGGGCGGCGGGGCGGCGGGCGATGGCGGGGGCCTAGGCTGCTTAGGCTGGGATGGGAGGCTGGCCCGGGCCGGCCGCTGGACTACGCGATGTTGTCGTTCGTGCGAGGCGGTCGTCCACATTCGGCCACTAGAACCGGTCGGGAAAAAACAATGTGGGTTTAGCGGCGTATGTGTGGAACTCGAAATAGATAGTCCACTGATGAGCCCTGGAGGCTCGGCCGGCCGCCGCCCAGGTCGCTGCGTCGTCCTGTCTCTGTCGCACTCGCGGGGCGCACGGGGTGCCGGCCCGCATCGCATTGTCTGCATGCATCGCCAGCGCGATGAGCCTTGCCTGCCTGTCCGTCTGCGGTGCTTTGCGGTGCAGGCGAGTCCATCGGCTGTCACGCGAAAATTGGCTCCCTCGCATGATTTGCTGCGTTCTGTTCGGTTTGTTTGTTCGGCCGGCTGCTGGCCTCTGCATCCCGTATGCGGCGCGTGCCGCGTGCCGGCAGGGGAGGCGGGGTGTCGAAGGTAGGCAACCCCTGGGCAGGCAGCATGCAAAGCAGCCCGTCTGAAGGACTCGGCGTAATGTGCGCATGCCGTCGGCTAATTCATTTTGCGCGTTCGATGTCGGCGATGTCGGTTGCCTCCGCATTTCATGCCGCTGCCGCCTTGCCGCCGCGCTGACGGGTGCATGAATGTGTGAGCAGACGCACACGTCTTACCCGCTTCAGTCAGAAAATGAGCACTTCTCTGCGACGGTAGTTTCTACACAACTTGGAGGCGTCCGCGTCTCTCCTCGGGGGCGTTTCCCCTCCTTGTGAACGAAAGCGCGTCTGCCCGGCCGTGCCTGGCCGTGCCTGCCTGGTATCTCGGTGGCCGAGAGCCGAGTCCACCCGTTTTTGATACGGGAGTGACAACCTCTTTATCACGGCGATGTGTCTCGGCCCTGCGTCGACGCGACGCCACGCCGCGGCCAGGATTAGTCTTGGAGAGCGCCTGCCCGCCATGCCTTCCCGCCCACTCACTGGCAAT